TATTTTATATAAAAAAATTGCATTAGTATATATAATCTTTTTATTTAATGGAAGTATATTAGTTGTAATAAAAGAATCAAGGCTACTAGACAAGCCACTAACCAGTTTTATAGCCCTTTTTGTAGTGATAGTAGAGGACGCTGCTTAGTTATAAAGCTGCCGCTCACACTGCAGAAGCATAATCCAACCTAGATTGAATAAAAGCTTCATAAAAAACCAGCCTGCTCCTATATTCCAGAAAGTTCTTTATCGTTGCTAGTTGAAAAGTTGTCTTTAATAGGGACATTTTTAGAAGATGGATATGACCGTAACAAGTGAGGTTGTGATCTATAATCAATCCTGGGCACTTGTAACTGTTAACCTGTTCAATGTTTGTATTGTCTATAGTAATGCGTAATGATGTGGAACGAAGACGAAGGCGTTTCTGATGAGTCGTTATAATCATTGACTTGGTTTTATCGGGGTGAAGTTTCATTTTGTTAAATTTTGTCCAAGTAGCAAGCTGATTGGTACATGTTTGAAGTTTGTAACTAAGTGAGTCAGCACTGTCTGCAAAGACATGTAAAGAAGTATCATCAGCGAACATCTCGCACTAACCAGCGTCAATGTGTAATGGAAGATCATTAATGTATAATGAAATAAACCGGGAGTGATCTCCCCTAAACTTTCTCGAATATTCTTATATAAATTCGAATATAGACATGATTTTTAATAACTTAAACTTTCAAAAATAGAATAGAATCTCATAGAAAAAAAATTGCACACCAAGCAAACACACAAAAAAATGTTCATAATAGTGCGCAATATTATTAGTACTTTATAAATTTACATGCGTTTTTTGAGAAATCGGAAATAGCGTAAATTAGTACTTCTTCCGGTCAACGGAAATTGATCAAAATTTGACAGAAGGTAGAGAATTAGATCTTTTACTTACATGTGAAATTTCATTTATCTAACTGAAATAGTACTCCAGTTATAGGCTTTTGAAAAATTCAAAGTAGAAAAAGTACCACTCCCGGTTATCGGAAATCGCTCAAAAGTTGATACGGATCTACGATTTTGATAAAATACTTATATATAAAATTTCAGCAACCTAGCTGTAACGGTACTCAAGTAATCGTGTTTACACACACAGAGACACACAGACAGACACACAGACATACGGACAAGATTGCAAAATTATGTTTTTCCGTATCAGTGAGATGTAAAACGTCGAGATTTGTAAAAATCTCGATTTTTTTTTTTTTTGCACGATTACAAAACTTTCTCTATACTTCGTATATGCGAGAAAGTAAAAAGTAAAGGCCCTAAGATTGAGCCCTGGGGAACCCCTATATTAACATATTTCTGTGAAGAGATGGTATTAAGGTGAAACACGCATTGAGATCTGTTAGATAAAAAGGAGTGAAGTAACCTAAATGTAAATTCGTGGAATTTGTAAGGAAATAGTTTTTTAAGAAGTATGCTGTGATCAATAGAATCAAAGGCTTTTTCTGAAATCGACAAACAGCGTGCCACCAATTAGGTTTTTGTTAATATTTTCAAGCCAGTTTTCATTCATTTTAATCAAAGCAGTGTTACTAGAGTGAAACTTTCTAAACCCAGACTGATTACTATGGAAAAGCTTATGCCTTTCTAGGTAGTTTGACATGCATTCGTTTATATGTATTTCTAGTGTCTTGGAGAGGGAAGAAAGTATAGAAATTGGCCTGTAGTTATTAGCATCATGGATGTTACCTTTTTGTGTAGTGGTATAACCTTAGCATGCTTAAAATGTTTCGGGTAATATTGCTTGGCAATACAGAGGTTATAGATAAAGGTTAAAACTTCAGAGATTATTGGAGCTGAAATCTTCAATACTTTATTAGAGATTTCATCAAACGAAGTTGTTGTAGACGATTTAAGAGATCTTAGGCTAACATAAACTTCATGAACAGTGAGAAGCGGAATTATCAGCTCTGCCCTACCACGGTGAGCAGAATTACAGAAATGTGTAAGCTCCTCACCGATTGTGTAATCAGTATATGTGTTGAGCGCTACAGATGCTATAAAATGATTGTTGAAGTCATCAGCAGATACCTGGCAATGTCCTGCTGTATCGCATGTGCGTTTTTTTTTTCTAATTATTTAATTTATGGCATTCCAGATAGATTTTAAATTAGGTTTGCCTGACAGCTACTTATTAAAATACTCTTTCTTCGACCTACGCACGAGCAGTTTGACATATTTTCGTTGCTTACAAAGTAGAAGAATAGATGATATTATCTATATAACTGTATTGACTGTTTATATATATATATATATATATATATATATATATATATATATATATATATATATATATATATATATATATATATATATATATATATATATATACATTAACGTGTATATTTGTTACTTTGTTTATCTGTTTGTTTGTTTTTTACGCTTTACAAAACCATTCATCATGAGCCTTTGGGGGCGTTATTGTGTGCAATACAGAAATGATCTGCTATAGAAAAATGTAAATCTCGGAAAGGTTGCACGCCAGTGGTACAGAGGCGTAGCTAGGGGAAGGCGGGTGGGGCGGCCGCCCCGGGCGCCGACCCAAATGGGGCGCCAAAATGGGTAGGACCAACATGAATAACTATATATAGCCTGTATATAAATGGAAGGGGGGGGGGCGAAAAATTGATAGTTCGCCCGCGGCGCCGGAATGTGTCGCTACGCCTCTGCAGTGGTAGTGTGCGATTAGTTCTCCATCGGCTATGTTAGCACATGGGGTACGTTGAAAAAAACGTCATGCACAGTGGGCGGGGAAAGTACTTGAATCAAAAGTCATTCTGCATTTGCGGCGTTGAGTAGACGACTGGATGGTCGATTGGACCAAGCTCACTTGTCTTTCCCGTGAGCGATATGGCGCTTACATTCGTTTTAAAGAACGCTCTACACATGATACCGTAGGTTTCCACAACTTAATCAGCCAGGGGCATTCTCTTGCGGATTTACTGAAAACATTTAGAAACGTCGTCAGATGCGGGGGGGGGGGGTGTACACACATGTCCCTGGGCGCCGACCTTAGGGGGCGTGAAAATTGGTTGGAAAAATAAATCGAAAATTTGAGGGTGGGGGGGGGCAAATCGAAAGTTTGTCCCCGGGCGCCGGAAATGGGTCGCTACGCCTCTGAACGTCTTTAATGCATGACGTTAATAAAAATATTGATGCTGATGATCTTTGCAATGAGCTTCATGTAGTAGCCTCCTATGCATATTTCACCATCAGTTGTCCTTCTCTATATAGTACAACCAAAGTCGGAAGATTGTGTGCCAAATGCTGTTTATTTCCTTGAGAATACTATTAAAACTTCCAGTGTCCACGGACAGTGGAGAGTGCAGTTTTTTTTATATTTTAATTAATTACAAAGGCGGAATTACTATACCGCCAGACCCCGCAATCCAACTAAAACTAAAAGATATTTTTTGCACCTTGAAAGACTAGTATTTTTGTGAAAACTAAAAACAAATCGACTGCAGCAGAGGCGTAGCGAGGGGGGGGGGGGTGCGGGGGTGCGGACCGCACCGGGTGACACCATTTAAGGGGGGTGACACCAAGGCAAAAAATAGCAAAGTATATAGAGAAAAACTTGAGGGGGGGGGGTGCAAATCGAAAGTTTGAGGGGGGAGGGATGCAAATCGAAAACTTGAGGAGGGGGGGGGGGTGCAAATCGAAAGTTTGAGGGGGGGGGGGGTGCAAATCGAAAATTTGAAAGTTTGTCCCCGGGGGAAGGGTCGCTACGCCTCTGGGGGGTGACACCATTAAGTGCCGCACCGGGTAACACCCGACCTCGCTACGCCACTGGACAGCAGCAGTGATTGTTCTACTATGACTGGATACACAGTCTCTTGTTAAGAAAAATGGCGAAGGGCCGGGATGCTGTGAACAAATGGACAATGGGCGAGAGGGACCGGCAGTGGCGCAAAAATTTTAATAAAATGTTCAACACATGCAACGTAGTTAGTTATTAATGCTATGTTTAAACTAGAGCATGATATTAAAAGATAACTTATTTTAGTTAACATATATTAAGTTTAACAAGCATATTTAACGAAAGTTTCTGCAGGGAATACATACATCAGTGCAATCTTAGCAACCAGGGTAAAAACGGTTAAATTTCAAGGTATCAAGGAGTGCAAGCACGTACAAATCTTGGCTATATCCTGGCGTAAGCTTGTCTCGTGTTTCGCCAAGATAACGACATTGGGCCAATCTTGGCTTCACATATTGTGTTAACTGGAACAGTAACGAACACTCACTGTTGCGTAGAGAAAAAAAAAGCAACATAGTTGTAATATGATAAATAGGCAAACCTTTAAACCACTTCCATGACACTATTCATAATTTTCGGCGGGCATAGATGAGATATTTTAAAACTAACTGGATTATGTCAGACCAGAAATGAGATTGGGTCTATCTCTTAGTGATTTTTTGTCTTACGAAGGATATACTTCTGCTATGAAATAGGTTAAATTGTTTAATTTAATATTTTGTGAGGCAATCTACTAATAGAAAAAAAAATGCTGTGGGGTGGGGGAGGGTTGTTTAATAAGTTTTGCCTAGGGCGCCAAATAACCTATATTTTCTAGGCCTGTACATTATAATTTATGGGCCTGTATGATCCCACGGCGCACGCATAAAAGCAGGTCTAAATCTGTAACTTTAAAAAAATATATTATTAGTTGAATTTTAATTTTCCGCCCTTAACATTGTTTAACTCCGAATGATGCTCTAGCTAGATCTAAATCTAGGATTTGTTGAGTTACGACCGTGATAAAAAATGGATCTGAGCTCTTTAAACAGATCTATACACTATACAGGACAAATTACGAGTATTTAAAAAAAAAGAATATAAATCCAACTCTTAAAGCCAAACTACTAAATTTAGTGAAATTTAAATTGAAAAGCGAAATATTGCGAATTTTAGTGATGATGACCCGGAACTATATCACATTGACCTTATTTTTGCGCCAAACATAACAAGGCTAATTTTTTTGCGAAATAACTAAAACAGGTAACATGATAATTGATACATTTAATATAGATCTAGATCTAGTTTTATATATAGGGCTACTTATACTGCAATATGATAGATCTACATAACATCGATTTATAATTCAGTAGTTAGTAGGTTGTAATTTAAATCTACTTCTAGAATCTAAATCTAGATCTAGAATCTAGATCTAGATCTCTAGATCTACTCAAATAGACAAATATGAAATAGTGAAATACTCATTCTACTGAAATCTACTGTAACTGTGTACTCAAGTGTACTGTAGTCTAGACTCTAGCGGCCCGCTCTCTAGCCGCAGCGTAACACGAACAACACTTATTAACAGTGCCTAACAATAACACACGACACAAACACACATACACTATGATGACTATACTTGACTATACAGTACTATACACCTAGATTCTAGTACTAGTCAGTAGTAGTAAGTACTAAGTAGGCTACTAGATCTAGCACACAAAAGTACACTTCACTACAGACTGTACAGTCTCTACTCTCTACACTACTAGATCTACTAGTACTACACTTACTACAGTAACCCGGGCAGTTACTAGATTCTAGATTAGATCTACTACTTCATAGTAAGTTCATAGTTAGTAGTTAGTACTCAATCTAGATCTAAATCTAGAGAAGATTTAAAGATTATCATTTGACTCAAATAGACTGACATTAGTTAGGCCTACTAATGCTAGTCTAGCTAGAATCTACTTTTAACTTTGGCCAATGCTAGCCGGAATAAGATACACATGCGACACGCATGCGCAATGGAGAGAAACTATGACTTGCCTTCGCGGCGATGTTTTCGATGGTACTGCGTAACTGCGCATGCGTGTGTTGACAACCGCAAAACCCTAACAGTAACACCGACCCTAACCCTATCCCTAATCCTACCCCTAACCCTCATTCTAACCCTAGCCATAGGTCACTGCGCATGTGCAGAGCTATCTTTTGCCGACTAAGTGGAGATGTTGGGGAGAAAAATCTTCTTCCGAGTAGTCACTTCGTTTAACTTTACTAGTATAGTAGTGTAGTATTACTACAGTATTAGGTCTAGAATCTAGAAGTATTTGTTAGGCTAGCGCTAGAGTCTAAGTCTAATATAAATAAAGTAGACTTATACTTATAGGCAAGGCTTTTATAATATTTATTAACGAGCCGGCCCGCGGCATAACATACGCCGCTATTTAGTTGTTGTTTTTTCTACTTTTTAGTTATTCAAAATTTGTGAATTTGACAGTACCAACGCTGCCACTGAAAATATTTCTTTAAAACACTATACGTAGCTCGTTAAGGACCATAACCCCCCCCCCTTTCCTTCCCCCCCCCCCCCCTACGTTTAAAATTGTTGGCTCTGCTTGTAAACATTAAGAGTGAACACAGCTCACTAAAACCATGTAGGGGTGGGGAGGTAGGGAGCGCGTTTACAGCTTGTTTTCTAGGCGCGTTTGCAGCTTGTTTTCTAGCGGCTCCCAGAAGAGAATTATATATATAGATTATTTAGTTTATTATAGTTTATAGGGGAGAATGTTTATACACTATACAGGTCCTAATAGCCCCGGCCGGCATTAAATAAAACTTCGCCTGGATACCTCTAGCTTCCAACAAGCAATAGTTCTCTCGTTTGGAATGCAATTCTCGCTCACATGTGATGAATTTAATGCAACAGATATTTTATTATGCCTATAAATTTTAAAATATTTAAAACTAAGCCTGGACAAAGCTTTGTGTACATTTTTTAACACAGCACAATTGTTTAAAAACTGATACATGAATGAAACTTTGAAAGATTTTTGTAACTTTCAAAACATAAATCCTCCTCAAAAATGTGAAATAATTACATAAATTTAATTTAAGTACTTAATTTCACATTAATAGTCGTGGACGATTTTACGTACCTAAAATGACAGAGATTACCAGTCATTCTTACTAGCTAGTACTAGATTCTAGATCTACTACTATGACTACTGGTATTGCTTACTACTTAGTACTTACTGCTACTACTAACTAGGATTCTACTAGATCTACACTAGTAACTAGTTACTTAATACTTACTTCTAGAACCTAGTGCTATACTACTACAACTAGTACTAATGATAGTGTTTTAATAAGTAAAGTAAGTCAGGTCGACATATAGTGTGTCTTTAAGAAGTCAAACAGCAGTAGCCTATTCTTCAGAAATTAATTTACATTTGTTGCCAATCTAAAATCATGTAATTTTTTGCATTAATAATTTAGGAGTACAACTATGGATGTAGAACTTCAAGCAACATGCAGTGCCCTGGGTTACACAGAGGGAAAGGAGTATGTAAAAGAACCTGATTGCTTAGGTAGATTCTGTTTTTCATTCTTTTGTTGGAAGCTACTCATTTTTTTTTCTACACTGTAGTCCATAGTAATATAGGTTATGGTTTAATTATTTATTACAACTGAGAAGTCATATATTTTATTTTTGTTGTTTTTTCTTATGATGTGTGATTCAGTATAATAAATTGACAGTTTAATTATTAATTGTATTAATAGATTTTTTCCTTTATGTGAGTGCATTAAAGTTACCATATTGAAATTCACCGTCCATTGGGCAGACGAAGTAGAGTTCACCTGTTTCTATGACCTTGGCCTTTACTTTCCCTATCTTACAAAGTCAAACATAAGCCCAGGATCCGAACTTGAGACTTTCCAGTTAATAGTCGGACGCTCTACCTTTTGCAATAAAATCACAATGCACTTATATTTATTTTTTCAGAAACTGTTAAAGATTTGATCAGGTTTTTGAGACGTGACACGGATATCTGTGACATTCGTCGACAGCTTGGCCATGCACAGATAGTTCAGAATGATCTTATACCATTGGTGAAGTTTTACCACAAGGATAAAGCCCTATTTGAGACAGTTATCAAGTGAGTTGTTAATCACATAACATCTCTTCTAAGAGTTTCTTTTCTTTTTTGAAGGAAAACAATGTGTGAATAGCTATATCTGTAGGTATAGAGGCAAAAAATTTGCATTGTTTTATGTACATTTATCTTGTGCTTGTCTATGCTGTAATTTATTTTTGAAGGTTTATTTAACAGTTGATCAGTTTTGTTTTGTTATTGCTAAAAATACTTGTATACTGTATATACCCAATTTATTTTTAATAGACTGCTTTTAAACTGGTTTAGGAATGGTTCAATTAAACCAAATTCTGTTTTCAATAGATTGCTTGTAAACCTGACGCAGCCTGTAGTCACATGCTGGAACAATCAGATTCCAGATGAAAAAACTTTGAGGAACTACTGCCTTGAAGTTGAGAGTTATCTGCAGGACTACAAAGAGGTATGTCTTAGCTAATTAGTCTTTGATTAATTAATAGTTCTGATTATTTGTTTCATTCTCATTTATCAACAGTTGTTGTTTACAAGCTGAATTGATCGATTCTATTTTTGGTGTTTTTGATGTTTGTTTCAGGCATTTATTGATGAGGATTTTTTTAATGTGCTGTCAGAGAAGATCATGGAGATTCTCAAACTGGTAGGCCTATGTGACAGATGATACTAGTAAAATTAAATCCCATAGATTAGTAATTCTAACAGTAAAATTTGTTTTTCTTTTATTTTGTTAATTGATTAAAAGTAAAAAAAAGTAAAGTTCCCTTTCAAACCTGACGGTCTATGGAGCAAGTGAAGTAGAGTTCACTTGTTTCTGTGACCTTGTTTCTGTTGATTGATTAATATCACTTATCATTGGGTTAATGGGATTAAGTTTTTTTTTTATCTTTTTCGTTTTATTAATTTATGCTTATTCAATAATTCGTGTATTATAAATTTTACAACTTAGGACTGGGATGAACTGCGTGAAGAGGATAAGTTACAGCTGGAGAGATTGTTCATTCTTATCCGCAATATTCTTCTGATTCCAGCAGACCCTTCAAGAGAGCAGGTTAGATTGAATTCATGTTGAGTATTCATTTAGGGCTGGGTAGGCTCAATACACTTAACACACCCAAATGATAGGTAGATATCCCACTAACTTTACAGCCACCTTTGACTGGCACTATCACAGGGTGACTTTAACAAATAAATTTTGGACTTTTTTAGGACGTTTATTTATTTTGGTCTATTGGGTATTGAAGTAAGTTTCCATATGCTGCAAAAATAAATTAGAAATTTTAACTTAAAATGTTTCATTTTATTTGAGACGTTAATCAGGTTATGATTTTAACATACAGCGTACAGAAGATGATGCAAGCACACATGATCAAATACTCTGGACAATGCACACCAGTGGTGTTGAGGATTTGATCCTGTTTGTTGCCAGCTCGGAAAGGGAGAGAAGCATGCTCTGTATGCATGTCTTAGAGATTATCTCTCTTATGTTCAAGGAGCAGGTTAGATCAAGCCACTTTCTTTTTTAATATAATCTGATTGACTCTTACTGTAGGCCCTAGTTTATTTTTTCTGATATTATGATTGCAGGGTTGAACAAAGCAATTAAAAAAAAATTCCATTCTGATAGATTTTTACTGTAGTTAATATGATATTATTATGATCATTTTAGGAAGCTGCAACACTTGCTTCTGCTGGGGTCGAAAGGTCAACAACAGAAAAAATTAAAGATCAAAAGTGAGTTTTAGTCAGATATTTAAAATCTTTTCAAATACTTGGGAGCTTGGAGTTGAGGCGACTGCTCACCAACAAATTCTATATATAGATAATCACATAAGGTCTTATTCTAACATCCTGTAGAGGGGTTAGAGGCAGGTATTGTTAACATAGTAGCAATGTAAGTAAAGTTCCCTTTCAAACTTGACCGTCTATAGGACAAGTGAAATAGAGTTCACTTGTTTCTGTGACCTCTGCATATGAAGAGATAGTGTGGTCAGCACTATGCCCATCCGCTTTTACTTTCCCTAACGTGAGTTAGGTACCCATCAGAGTTGGGTGGGCTCAGCGATGGTCTACTGACTTGAATCTGGATTTGAACACGAGACTTACAGGCTAGCAGTCCAGCTCTCTACCGCTAGACTACTCCGTTCCCAGTGTCGATGTAGACATGAAGTATTATTTCATTGACTAAGGTTGACATAGACATGTAATTTAGTCTCATACAAGACCAAGCAGTTTAACAGTCAGATGGATTTGAGCCCATCATTTTATAAAGGCACCAAACACCTTTGCCTGTACAAGTTACAATAGTGGTCTGCAAGGAACGTTCCATTTTTTGTGAAACTAACTGGCTGAAGTGTTGACCCTTCAGGCCTGACACACAAAAGGTGAAGGTATTTGTGTGCCATGTGCAGGGATGTGACTTTTCCGAATTTTAGCGGAAATCCGATTTTTCCGTTTCAGTTGCGATTTTCCTCCGCTGATTTAATTTTCGCCGAATTTTTCCGCCGAGTTTCAATTTTTGTCGATTTTTTACGAAGTTTTAAAAATTAGGAAAAAAAAACGGAAATGTCTTCTACGGAAAGGGCCGACATGCTCATTCCACTTATTCGTATTTAAATTTAAATCTACAACTACTGTACTTTGGTCAAACGGACACGCGAATATGCGCATTTCTTTTCGATTGGTTGATTGCGCTAGGTCTGACGGTGCTAGATCAAGATTAAATGTAGATTAAGATTCGGAATTTCGGCGGACTTTAGAATTTTTCAAAGCACACTTTTTTAGGCCAAATTTCCGCTGATATTTTCAGTTAACTATTTATAAAAAACACGGAAAAGGTAATCTAAAATAATGCAGTTATTCAATTAAAACTTACATCTCTTAAGCCTGGTAATCTAGCTATCGATATAGCCTAATTTACCTATCGGTATTTTAACCCGCCTAAATCTAGAGTTTCTCTCTGATTCTATTTTTTATTTCGCAATCTCAAATTAATATTGAAATCCTTGCAAAAGTTGACTATAAGGACTAGACTAACCTGCCCCACCTCGTAGCAACGGTGGCTCTTGTGACCTCACCTTGACCCCAAGTACGTTTTCGGTACTGCTTGTGGAAAAAAATGACGTCACAGTCAATTTCAAATAGCTTTTCCTGCAATACGTATGCTGCGTAGGCCTACAGATTTAAAAAAAAAATACTAAACTCAACGTGATTACGACCGTGTCTTTTGTTTGTGGAAGAAAAATTACGTTCAGACTGTGGGGGGAGTCTGGCTTTTGTAGGAGAGAGGGGAGGTAAATATCCGCAAAAAAAAAAACGTGGATGACCCCTAACAATTTACAGCTATTCCAAAAAAACATAAATATCATGTGGCTTGGTTATCATTATGATTAACTTTGGTTCACACGCCAGACCCTATCTAATTTTAGCTAACCTGGTCCATTTCATTTTTCCATCACATGAACCTAAAACTTTCAAATTGTAACTAATCTTAATCTAGGGTCTTTACCGTTGAAGACAACTATTTTTACCTTTCCAATCTTTAAAAGAATACATATTAGGCATTAGGCCCCCCTATTTAAAAATTGAAAACAGGAGTACATCTAGAATCTACACTAGATTAGTACAGTTTAAATTAGCTTAATGGTAAAATAAAACTTAATTGCTACTTTTGTTACATTGTAATTTTTTAAAAGTTGTTTATAAGGTAAACATTAAATTGCAATTAGACAAGACTTTCAATGTTATTTTAGAGTAACATAAACTTCTTGTATTTAAAATATTAACTTCATTAAACAATTAATTAGTACAGTAACAGTATGAAGCTGCTTAACTGCGATAAAAAGTAGATAAAACATATTGAGTTATTATCCGAAGAAAATTTCCGAATTTTTTTTCCTGGTCTGGTCACATCCCTGCATGTGGAGATGTGGTCTTGAGTCTGATCTAGCTGTTAAACTGCTCTGCCTAGTGTGGGACTATATTATGTACCTATTTCTACCTTATAGAGCTAGACTGCTAACCTGAAAGTCTCGAGATCGAATCTGGGTTCAAGTCAGTAGAATGTTCCTGAGTCCACCCAGTAGCTACATAACACAAACGGAGAAAAGTGATGATTTCTACCATATGCATCGAAATCCTAACATCCTATATCTCCTTTTCAACTGATCTAATAATTCTCAATTTCTAAGTCAAGTTATATTAAAAGATAAAACTAATAAAACTGTAAAAGGTTAAATATTTATATTACAACATAATGTTTTATTCTATCCTGTTTAGGTTTATCTCTTTCCAATTATGTTCCTTATTTGGTTTCCTTCCTAAAAAAATTAACATTCATTTGTTGAGTTGTTAATCATGTTTTCTACTATTTTCAGAGAGCTAGAACATGCAAGAGAAAAAGAAAGGGCGCTAAAGAAATCAAATATTCTGAAATTTAGTGCAAGGTACAGTAGAACCTTTGTTTACCTTTTTAAAGTATGGCATTGTTGTTTTTCAATGATGCTATCTTTATAAGAAAACTAGATTGTTGCTTTATCTTAGTTTTCAGTTCATATGTACTAGTAGGTATTCTTCTTTTCTAAAAGTATTGTTAATATATATAAATAAATAATTATTGTAATATATAATATATTCTAGTCCATTAAAACACACTAATTTTTTGTTTTCATATTTTAATTTCAATGCACATTTGTATTTTTTAAAATATTTGAATAACATAAATTGGGTAATACTTATTTTTTTTCTAGTTATTGCCAAATAAATGTATGTCTATGTAAAACAAAAAACTTCCCACAGATGTATAACAGATAAGGTTTGTAATAGTTTTTTCATTACTATTATATAAATTACTTTTAAATCAAGTACAACTTTTTTCCTCAGACATTCAAGATTTGGCGGCACTTATGTAATAAAGAACATGAAATCCATCAGTGAGAATGACGTTATCTACCACAAATCTCTGGGAGAAGCCAAAACATTCTCCTATGATGACAACAAAAACCCAAAGAAAAAGGCAAAGAACAGAGCTCCAATCAAGGGGGATGAAATCAAGCGCAGGTCGACTCTGAGCATGAGGCTTAGCTTGAAACAGTTTTGTGTGCAGTTTCTTGTTAATGCTTACAATCCTCTGATGAGGGCAGTTAAGGTGAGAGTTGGTCTTGTGTTCTGCCTTTTTATGTCTTTGTTTATAGGAATTAATGGGTTATTGGTATATGTTTTATTTTTTTTTCATATGACTATATAAGGTAATTATATTTGACTCATTGGACCTGATGAGCTTATTTTATTATCAGGTTACATAACCAAGCATAATGGTTAAGCTGATATGCTACTTACTTTGGGTGGTTTAATAAGATCATGTAAATAACCTATGGGTTTTTATATATAGGGATTAATTCAGTATTTGGGGAAGTGGTTTAAATTTAAACTTCTCATATCCCTCCTGAGGTCTGTTCACAGATGAACACATCTACAACTAAATCAGAACATTTTATATTAAATTGCACAAATATGAAAAAATGCAATTTTTCTATAGGCCTCCCTTTTCTCAATTTTGTTCACCTCACAAATTCAGAAGGGGGGGGGGGGCACTCCCCCACCCACACTACATCTGCCTAAAACCTAAAAGTTAAATTGACATAGCCTTTTTGTCTGATGTGATGGGCTCTTTAAATTTGGGATGTTGCACTGAGAAAACATATGGCCTAATGCACTGCCTGTTTGCAAGCTATTGATAATTTTTTCTAAAGCAGTTTGATGTATTCTAACAACAGGATGCTTTAACAAGGAAGACTGCGCAGGATAATGATGAGACTTACTACCTGTGGGCAATGAGATTTTTCATGGAGTTTTGTCGCTTGAACTGTAAACGGGTCGACCTTGTTGGGTAATTAATTGCAATACCTTATATAGCACTTGTGTGTGGGGTAATTAATTATAATTTCTTAATTCTTTATGTGGACAGTGTGAGGTAATTAATACCTTAAATGTATATAGCCCTTTTTGGGTAATTAATTTAATTCCTTAATTAGTATGTGGCCCTTGGGAGGTAATTAATTGCAATACCTTAAATTTATGTAGCCCATGTTATTCCTCAATTTTTTTATCAATATAAGAGGCATGTTTACATTATCATAATTATGGTAATCTTTGGCCACTGATAAAATATACATTATCAGTCTACACTTAGATTGATGTTATCTATATATATAATTCTCTTCTGGGAGACGCTAGAAAACAAGCTGTAAGCGTGCTCCCTACCACCCCACCCCTACATGGTCTGGTGAGCTGTGGTTCACGCTAAATGTTTACATTCGTAGAGCCGGGTTTAGTGACGGCTATTAGGGGCAGATAATTCAGTTTGAAAAGATTTTAAACTTAGGGGAGGTAAATAAGAGGAGGCTGCTTTCACGGGGGGGGGGGGGGGGGGGAGGGGGTAGGGTAGGGGTTGGGGGAAAGGAGGGTGGGGGTAGATGTTGGGGGAAAGGAGGGTGGGGTAGTAACGTTCTTAACGACCTACTGATAGTGTTTTAAAGCAAACATTTTCAGTGGCAGTATTGGTACTGTCGAATTCACAAATTATGAATTACTGAAAAGTAGAAAATAGAACAACTAAATAACGGCGTATGATATGCCGCGGGTCGGCTCATATAAAATATTAAACCTTGTTAAAGTATTTTGCTTTTTATTTTAATTTTTCTTTATTCAGACTTTAATAGCATAGACTTTAACACATTACTTCATTGCCCAAAAGCTGTACCTCCTTAACTCTGATATTCTGATACAAACAAATTTGGCAGGGTTTTAACTTTGTTCTGTTGACCACAGGGAGACCATGTCACTGCCAGCATTTCACTACATTTACACCCAGCTGTTGACCTACTACGAGAACATCCGTCTGGGTAAAGGTGAAGAGGTCAAGACTTGGGGTCGCAGGTAACTGTGAGATTTTCTTTGAAAAGTTATTGGCCAAAATGTACCTTAGTCAATATGATCAATAGAATTATCAGGTTTTATGATGTTTTAATTTAATACAAGTGTCTCGTTAAATTACAACAAGAGAATTCAGCCATTTTGGTAATTAAATTTGGTAAAGGAATTAACATTTTTAAACTTAAATAAATTGTTCAGTATTGGTGAGCTTACATCAATTCGCAGTGTTTTTTCTTAAGTGTTGAGTTTTTCTTGATTTCTAGATTAAACTAATAAGATCACTTAAAACTTTATAGTTCTTCAGGATATTTTTTCTGTCTTTATTTAACTGTCAGGACTCATGTGGCGCTTAAAGCCTACCAAGAACTTCTGCGTACTCTGGATTTCATGAGCAAATCTAATGATAGACAGTTGCAGGAGAGTGCCAAAGTAGTGCAGAGTGAGTCAGATGTCAGAAAAATAAAATTTTCAAGAGTTATTTCCCTTGATGTTCCAGTTATGTTAGTTTTTCTTAAATCATATTTAATTATATAAAAAAAAATTAAATTTAAAAATTTTAAAAAATGAATATAACATTTACGTGTATTCAATCTTAAATTAAGGAAAAAACTAAACAGTACATGCTGCAGTACCCATTTGAAAACATGCAGCAAGTTTAATCGGCTTTTTTTACTTTTTCTTTTCCAAACAGGCAATGTGTTTTACATGATAGAATACAGGGACATATTTATAACACTGTTGAAAAATTTCAATGAGTCCAAAAGTTCCAGGTGGGTTGAACACTGTTTTATTATTGGACAATTTACAATTAAAAAATTGTTTACTTTATTCAATTTTAACCATTTAAATTTTTTTTCTTCACTTTTCACCATTACATTTTTAAAAACAATGTTTTTTTTTCTATTTTGATTTTCTCTTTAAACCCCCAAGGACGACAAACATTTAAAGAAATTTTTAAGAATGCTAATAGGGATATACATTGGCCATTTTTAGTCATCATTACAAGTAATTACTCACATAATCAACATTGCTCATTAGATAAAATTTAGTAGAAGTCCAAGGCTATCAGGTCACAAAAGATGATTTTTTATCAATGAACTTATCTTTAAATTACAAGGCATGTATCATAACATCCTCAACCAAATGTGTGAAAATTTTGTAAACTTTTTCCTATCCTTCTTGTAAACTTTTTCAGAGCCTTCCTGCGTGACCTTGTGGAATCCACCCATGTATTTTTGAAGATGCTGGAGACATTCACCAAGTCTAGTAAACTGGTGGTGCAGAAGAAGAAGAAGAGCATCAAGAGGAAAAAGAAAGCTGCCAAATCTTCTTTGGCAGGTAAGATAATACTTTCTGTTCAGTAAGTTTAACACAAAATTCAAACAACTGCTGCCTTGTAGTTTGTTCTTGGTTGGAAAAAGGCTATGGAAGCAAATCCAAAAAGAAAAGCAGGCTGAAATCGGAGTCAATGGAAACAAAACCAGTAGACACGTAATACTTAATTGTGATGGAGGCGTGGTCGAGTCGGCTAAAATTCGGGAAAAAAAAGTAGCTCTTGATTTTTTTTCAAATAAGATAATAAATATTAAATTACACAAGATTATCAACCTAACAGTGTAACACGATTAAACAAAAATTTTCCAAAAAATTCTTTGTCAGTACATCAAATAAAATATGACGGGTTTTAAACTTTATAAAACAACAAGTACTTCAGTGGTGGTTTAAGGTGTGTTTTAAAGATTTTATCATTTGTTTCTGTTTACACATAATGAAAATAAAGTGCCTGTGCTAAAAGCACTGTTGGTTACAAAAACTCATGCCCTGTTTGTAGCGTGAAGGGAGACAAGCCTTTATTAATGCTAGCACCACTTATTACAGGCTCACAGAATCAGCAGCTGAGTGAGGAAGAGCTGGAGACATTGTGGAACAGTGATCTGTCGGAGGAGCTGAATGCAGTCCTGCTAGGTCAGCAGGATTTACCTGAGGGGGTTACACCTTTTGATGCTGCCTCTGATGTTAGCATGGATGATCAAAGGTTTGAGTTTTTGTGTATGGGGAAGTGTATGTTAGTTCATTAGACTTAACCTGAGGGGGTGACACCTTTTGATGCCGCCTCTGATGTTAGCATGGATGATCAAAGGTTTGGGTTTTTGTGTATGGGGAAGTGTATGTTAGTTCATTAGACTTAACCTGAGGGGGTGACACCTTTTGATGCCGCCTCTGATGTTAGCATGGATGATCAAAGGTTTGAGTTTTTGTGTATGGGGAAGTGTATGTTAGTTCATTAGACTTAACCTGAGGGGGTGACACCTTTTGATGCCGCCTCTGATGTTAGCATGGATGATCAAAGGTTTGAGTTTTTGTGTATGGGGAAGTGTATGTTAGTTCATTAGACTTAACCTGAGGGGGTGACACCTTTTGATGCCACCTCTGATGTTAGCATGGATGATCAAAGGTTTGAGTTTTTGTGTATGGGGAAGTGTATGTTAGTTCATTAGACTTAACCTGAGGGGGTGACACCTTTTGATGCCGCCTCTGATGTTAGCATGGATGATCAAAGGTTTGGGTTTTTGTGTATGGGGAAGTGTATGTTAGTTCATTAGACTTAACCTGAGGGGGTGACACCTTTTGATGCCACCTCTGATGTTAGCATGGATGATCAAAGGTTTGGGTTTTTGTGTATGGGGAAGTGTATGTTAGTTCATTAGACTTAACCTGAGGGGGTGACACCTTTTGATGTTAGCATGAATGTTTAAAGGTTTTTGGGTTTTGTATATGGGGAAGTGTATGTTATTTTAGGTCAGTAGACTTATCTTGATAGGTTATGCCTTTTGATGCCACCTCTGATTTCAGCTTGGATGATTAAAGGTTTGATAGAATTATTTCACTGTTTTTAAAAAGTCTCCATCAATTCCTGTCAATATCCAGGTCACATTCTTTAAAACTAGTCCTTCCAGCTCTGATAAGTTGGGAGACTAGCTCTATATCTTCATCCAACGTAGGATAAGGCTATAGTAAAATCTACTTCAATAGCATTACATGTTCTTACTCAAACAACTTAAAATATGTTGAATTAAATGATCATAATATGCCAAGTAGATTTCATTAGCATTATAAAGCCATGATGTATGAAGAGTGACTAATAAATTCTTAATAGTACTTTAATTATCTAGTAAGATTATTATTATATTTGCTTTAAATATCTGGTTAGTTGCCATTCTTGGTTTTATTATCTAATATGCTGTTGTTGATTAGTTTATCTAAGATGTCATTGTACCTAATTTGATAATAAAAATATACACACACAAACAGAGTAAGGTGGCCAGAGTATGGGAAAATGTATTGATTAGTATTTTACAGTTTAGTCCAAAAAAACTGCTGCCTCAAGGCATCTCATATGGCTTCATACAACTTGGAATCTGCTGTATCGCAGGAGCTGCTGAAAGGAAACCTGGGTTGACTTAAATGGCTCCACTCCTGTTTGATTTAGGAGTTTTCTCTGCTAGATGTGTTGCTATCCCCAGCTGATGAATCTTATCTGCCTGGGTTAGCAACCATGTGCTTACCCACCTGACCACTCTGATCCCAAAGCATCTGGTGACCTGATTAAGTGGAATTAATTGTGTTTAATTATTTTGTTAAACATTCCATTGTTTGAACTATTTCTTTTTTTGGTCCAAAGGATTGAGGCTATGCTTCGTGTCCAGGAAAATCTGAGAGAGAAAAATGTCGGCCTGGCTGTAGCCTTGTTCCGGTCGGCCCGAGAAGTTTGGCCAGAGAGGGATGAGTTTGGGACGGAGGGCATGAGTCAGGAGGAGGAGTTCCTGGCCTTGAAGGAAGTTTTTATGGCCAACTTGCCAAGTAAGTGTGAATTGTTTTTATGGCCAACTTGCCAAGTAAGTGTGAATTGTTTAGTTGGCCAACTTGCCAAGTAAGTGTGAATTGTTTAGTTGGCCAACTTGCCAAGTAAGTGTGAATTGTTTAGTTGGCCAACTTACCAAGTAAGTGTGAATTGTTTAGTTGGCCAACTTGCCAAGTAAGTGTGAATTGTTTAGTTGGCCAACTTGCCAAGTAAGTGTGAATTGTTTAGTTGGCCAACTTACCAAGTAAGTGTGAATTGTTTAGTTGGCCAACTTGCCAAGTAAGTGTGAATTGTTTAGCTGGCCAACTTACCAAGTAAGTGTGAATTGTTTAGCTGGCCAACTTACCAAGTAAGTGTGAATTGTTTAGTTGGCCAACTTACCAAGTAAGTGTGAATTGTTTAGTTGGCCAACTTACCAAGTAAGTGTGAATTGTTTAGTTGGCCAACTTACCAAGTAAGTGTGAATTGTTTAGTTGGCCAACTTACCAAGTAAGTGTGAATTGTTTAGTTGGCCAACTTACCAAGTAAGTGTGAATTGTTTAGTTGGCCAACTTACCAAGTAAGTGTGAATTGTTTAGTTGGCCAACTTACCAAGTAAGTGTGAATTGTTTAGTTGGCCAACTTGCCAAGTAAGTGTGAATTGTTTAGTTGGCCAACTTACCAAGTAAGTGTGAATTGTTTAGTTGGCCAACTTGCCAAGTAAGTGTGAATTGTTTAGTTGGCCAACTTACCAAGTAAGTGTGAATTGTTTTGTTGGGCCTGTGAGGCAATAGCTGACTTGACTTAAGTTGACAGATCTGTTTTGTAATTCAGTCCCTGTATATTTCATGTAATTCAGTCCCTGTGTGTTTCATGTTTTTTCTTCTCTGACCGGTATCATTAGTAATGTTCTTCGTTCGTAATTGTAATTTTGGAAAGGATTTCTTCAGACACAATTAAGTGCTAGTCTAGTCTAATTCTATCTATCTATGCCATGACAATTACTAATTACATATCATCATGTTACACATTATATGGGCAAATGACTCCAATTTCAGCCTGCTTTTTTTTTTGGATATGCTTCCATAGCCTTTGTCCAACCAAGAACAAACCACAAGGCAGCAGTTGTTTAAGTTAATTACCCTAGATGGGCTGCTGTCCCCAACTATTGAGTCTCCTGCCTGGGGGTTCGAACTCAGGACTTATTGGTTTAGCAACCATGAGCTTTACTGACCCGACCACACGACCCCTAGTAATGTTACTAATTGTTTGGATGGATTGCTATTTTTACTTAAAAGTGTTGTGGAAGTGTTTGATAAACACACCAGATTGTCTAATGTAGGGACAGTGGTTGAGTGGTCAAGCACTTCATAATGAACCTGGAAGTCAGTTGTTTAAACTTGTTTGGGTCACAGCTTTGAGAATTAGAACAACCTTGATGTAATGTAGGGACAATGGTTGAGTGGTAGAGCATGCCACAGCTAACCTGAGTGTCAGCAGGTTTGCTCACATGATTGAGCAGTAAAATACCCTTGATTTCACTCACATCTGCTGGGTGCCTGACTAGTCAAGATAAGTAAAAGTGGTTGGGCATAAGTGCTAATCACACTCATAGAAACTGGGTTAGATAAAGAGATGAACTCTACTTTATCTGCCACATTGACTATTTGGCCTGAAAGTTTGACCTTAAGTAAATTTTGCTTTCAACTTTATGTCATTATTTACTTAGAAACCAGAGGACACAAATAGAAAAATAAAAAAAAAGCATGCTGCAACAACATATGATTTGAAAATTGTTTTGAAAATTTTCTTTTATTGTATTTTATAATTGAAGAGAGTAGTTGAAGTTGATGAAGCAAGTAGCAATATTTTATTTGGTTTTTTACTAATAGACTATTGTGATATACAATGTAATTGAAATATAAGCTACGTTTATCATACTCTGCAGTATAAAGATTCAGAACATTGGTATAAAAATATATACAGCTGTATCATTTTGTTTATGTCACATATTGGAAAATCCTTTTTTCATATATGATTATGTAAATACTGAATAGTGTGTCTCATTCATGACACAGGACAATCTAATTAGCTGTAAAAGTTCAAAATTACTAGGAGAATTACAAAATATTAAATTCAGAATAGGAATAATTTGGTAATTTACAATTTACATGATTGTTCAAATTAAATTAATATGTACATGGGTTATGGCACATTAAATACAACAGTACTTGCATGATTTGACACCAAAGACTGATGCTAGAAAATGGGAGGTTGGCCTTTAAACATAATGCACAGCTTTTCTGGCAAGTTTTTTTTTTCTCAATTATGCAAAAATACATTTTGTCTTGCTTTTCTGCTAACTGGCAAGTAACCAAATAAGAAAAGTAAGCCATGCTTTTTCTGTCCTTAACATCTTTTCAGCTAATAGCTGAACTTGTGGCTTGTTAATTTCCTCCATCTCTGTAGCTCTTTCAGCATTGGGCAGTCATTTTACTTCCATCTGTTTAAGTCAGTGGGGTACTCGTCCTTGAACTTGGTTTTTACTTCCATGACTCCATCAACATTTCAGCGTCGTCTTCTGTCTGCGCGCTGAGGCAGTCAAAACTGGTCTTGGAGCTCGATGAAGCCGAGGACCACTGCCTCTTGCAGTTTGAGCTTTTTTTAGAGGACGATGACCCAGTTGAGGAGCTGGATTTCCTGGACTCGTTGCCAGATTTTTTGTTTGTGCTTCTGGGCAACGTAGCTGGGGGCTGCTCTGTCATGTGGTCAATGATGAACACAGTGTCTGAGGTTTGGCCGGAGGCAGGTGTTGTATCACTAAGGACGACATGCTTATGTTTACGCCTGTATCTAACCACAAAAACTGCTATAATTAGCCCCACGACCAGGCTCATCAGCGAGACGGCCACGCCAATGATCACAGCTTGGATTTTATTGTTGAGAGAAAACGTCGGCAGCCGGTTTTGGCCTGCTCTGATATTCTTTGTTTTCCAGAAGTTGTTGGGGTATCCGTCAAATGGGTTGGTTGTTTGGTTGAAAGTCTCGTTAATCAGTGGGTCTGTCGCTGGATCTACCACCTCAGAAGCATCTTCAGTTGTACTGAGAAAAAAAAAAAGCATTAGAATTTGGTTTAACATATTGTAAAAGAAAAAACTAAACATTGAAATATGTTTTACTTTTCAACTATCTCAATGAAACAACTTTAATATATGACTCATTTAATCTAATATAGATGAAAAGTAAATTCATAAGTGTTGGTTAGATTATACCACCCTAACTTCTCATCTTGGCTAGGATTATCTTATTGTCTTTTATAAGCTGAATCATAAGTATGAAAAAAGCTGTTATATGCATTAAAAATTATGCATAACTAATTAAATCACTATGGTCTTATTAACCCATATTCTGCTAGCGTCCCACTTATGGGACGCTTGTAAAAAAAATGCTAAAATTTATTAAAAACTAGTTGAAACACAACTTAGGTTTCATTGTATTTGAAAATGGCTAGACTATTGAATTTGTGTGTGTTTTGTGAAAAAAATTAATTTAGAAAAATGTTATAGTGCCGGCTTTGCAGGACTTGTCAAAATGGCGGAAAAAAGAAAACATGCGCACAGGAAAATGCATATCTTCTAAAATATTAACATTTTAAGTGCAAAATACATTTGAAACTTGTAGCAGTACCATATTTCTATCTGATAAAAATTTAAGAATAACAATGTTTTTTTACTACTTCGTTATATCAAGTGTACAACAAGCGTCCCATAAGTGGGACGCTAGCAACGAATGGCCCCATGTAGATTGTTACACAAACGTCACATTTATTGGACACTAGCGAGAAATACAGATGCAAATGTTTATGTTAAATAGTTATTTATGGTGAAACAATTGCTGACTTTGTTAACTGCTGACTTTGGGGTGTTAAGTAGTATTTATAGATATTTAATTATGACCTTGATCTATATTTATGCAGATTGTTACACAAACGTCACATTTATTGGACACTAGCGAGAAATACAGATGCAAATATTTATGTTAAATGGTTATTTATGGGGAAACAATTGTTGACTTTGTTAACTGTTGACTTTGGGGTGTTAGGTGGTATTTATAGATATTTAATTATGACCTTGAGCTATATTTTCTTATATATTATTGTATTTAAAAATTGCAAATATTGAAAAACTTACATTTTATTTTTAAGTTTTCAGAATTACACTTACTGAAGTATTTAATACCATTGAATACAAACTAATTTAGTATTGCTGTAAATTTATAAGCGCGTGATATTAAATTTATAACAAACCAGAATAATAACAATGGTCAAGATTTAGGTGAAATGATTCATTTATGGGGGTTGGTTAACTCTCTTCATATAAGATAGCTTAAGCTACATATAGCAGAAATGTAAATTAGCTGTGTACAGTTGTCATGCCCCAATAATATCCCCCCCCCCCCCCCCAAAGGTTCCCGATACCAGTTTTACTTTGTTAACTTTTTAAGGAGATTCCTGGTGTTAGATTGGGAGCTGTTCGCATAGTGAGGTGCATACATGGATGAGAGTCATGAACACTCAATACAAGCCCCCAGAGACGGATCCGTGCCTTAGAAATAAGATGTCTGATGTCCTAATGTACGCCTGTGAGGGGGGGGGGGGGGAATAGCGAGGGTAACAAAAGAGAGGATGGCTAGATGACATCTGGGACTGGACCGGATCATCTTTTGCAAATTCACTGAGGGCAGAGTTTCTTTCTGGCATCATTTCGGAGGAGGGGGGGGGGGGCGCTCTGCCCACACAACAAAATGGAATTTATATAGAAAACATACTTTTACCAGTGTCCACCCTTTCCCCTGAAATTTAAGTCCCCACCCCCTGAAAATTTCAAGTACGCCCCCCCAAAAAATCAATTATTTATATTTAATTATATTACAGTTTCGATGAATAATAACAATATTTGTGATCATGTGTGTATAATTAGATGTACTAGTCACAGCTTTACTTATTTCCAAGTGTTGTTCACTTTGATGGATGCTAGATTGAAGGAAAACTAGACTTTTGAACATAATTTCTACATTTTAGACCATGGTATGGCTAACCCAATTGATCATTATCAATATTTTTAGCTGTCCTAAACAATGTAGTCATTGGTCTAACAATACAAAATCAGTATACAGCTTAATTTTCGCGTGATTAGCCATAACTCGTGAAAAATTATTTTATTTTTCAATAAATGTACATGGGGCCGTTCGTTGCTAGCGTCCCATTTATGGGACGTTTTTTAAAAAATCGATATTTAAAAAAGTATTGATTTTAAAAAAAAATCCATAGTCATTCCTTCATTCAGTGCCCAAAAGCTAAACCATATCAAAAAATTATAAAATTTTGAGACCTTGGGATAATATGGGTTAATAAAGCTTAACAAGAACTCATTTTTAAGCTGATGGTTATTAAAGCATGCAACAGTTCTTCGCACTATCAAGAAAAGCTTATTAGTTCTGATTTAAAAGTTCATTAGCTCTGATTGTAAAATGCTAATTTGCTCTGATTAGTTCATTACCTCTGATTAAAAATTTCATTAGCTTTGGTTAAAAAGTTGATTATCTTTGTTTAAAAAGTTAATTAGCTCTGATTGTTGTAACATGCTAATTTTGTCAGATTACAACGTTAATTAGCTCTGGTTAAAAAGTTGATTCTCTTTGTTAAGCCTGAAGTCCCTACTCACAGAACAACATTCTGTTTGAATCAAAATTTGGCTCTTTTGATGTGAACTTTACTTCTGTTTGAATCAAAATTTGGCTCTTTTGATGTGAACTTTACTTCTGTTTGAATCAAAATTTGGCTCTTTTGATGTGAACTTTACTTCTGTTTGAATCAAAATTTGGCACTTTTGATGTGAACTTTAGGGGATATTCTCTGTGATCCCTAACACTGTGATGGAATACCCATAGTTCAAGGACATAATAAGTTTATGATTGTTCCATGATCACTTTTCTATGGTCTTTAATAAAAACAAAATGATTTAATTTGTTTTGTAATTATGGTTCAAAAATTTTTAACATGAATTTTGACTTACTCATTATATCCTTGAGTGGTCAACATTGATTCGTTATATCCTTGAGTTGTTTTGTTTGATTCACTCATTGTATTATTAGTGTATTCATCGTGGGTCTGCAATAGTTTCATACAGGTTTTTTTAAAACAAAGTTGACCATATTATATTAATAAGAAATAGATTATATAGAAGTTTAGTAGAGGTAGTTAAGTATATTAGTTGTTCTTCAGTTAAATTTGTACAGATTATCTAAGAGTAAGTGTACATTAAAAAAATCTAAACAAAAAAGTAAAAAAAAAAACAACTATAATGGTGAGAAAGCTGTTTCTTTAACTAAAAGAAAACTTGTAAAAAAAAAATTTTTTTGTATAGTGTATAATGTATAATGAGGCTATTAAAATTTTCTTCAAAAGTTTGCTTAATTTTTACAAGAAGCTTACTTGATTCTTTTGCATTGTGGTTGGGGATATTGTACTGTCTGTTTCTGGTGTTTCTGTGGTGTTTGTAGATTCAGTTGCTGATGGTGCTTTGGTTGCTGTTGCTGCATCAGTTGCTGATGGTGCTTTGGTTGCTGTTGGTGCTCCTGTTGTAGCTAATGCATCAGTAGCTGTGGGTGGATTAGTAGCTGTTGGTGCATCTGTTTTAGCTGCTGCATTAGTTTTAGCTGGTGCATCAATTGCTGTTGGTGCATCCTTTGCTGTTGTCGCATCAGTTTTAGCCTGTGTGTTGCCTCCAGTTTCACTGCTATCCTCATCAGTGATACAGTTCTCATCTGTCTCCTTGTCTTCTGTTGTTAAGTTCTCATCAAGCTTCTGCTGTGTCGACACCGCAGATGTCGTGGCTAGGTTTGATACGGTTGTTGTTTCCATCACCTTACTTTTTGTGGAATCTGTTGCCTGCTCGGTTGCTGTTGTCATGGTAACAGAAATAGTTGTGGGCATAGTGAAATCTTTTGGGTTGATCTTTACAATGGCTTGGCCTCTGAGCTGTACAGGAGTACTGCACGTTATTTTTTCGGAATTGACGAAAATTCTTGGCGACTGTAATATCCATTCCCGTAACCACAGTAAGGTTTCATCGCAATGCCAATAATTGCCTGCTATGTAAAATGATTTCAGAGAACTTAAATAGGTTTTTATATCTTCAGATAAATATTGTAAATCCGAATCCATTATGTTAAAATTTTTGATTGCGTTCAGAGACTTTAAAATTTTTGTCGAGTTCAATACTGCGGAGACGACAGAGGGACTTCCTTGAAGATCAAGAAACTCCAATGATGTCAAATACAAAAAAGCAGAATCATCAATTTCCGTGTAATTGCTTTCTATGCCGGAGAGTTTTATTTTATACAACCTAGCTAAACTGTTAAATGCTCCGTCTTCGATTTTTCTAATGGGGTTTTTGTCCAGGTTTAAACTCACCAGTTTCCTCAGGCCACTAAAAGAGCTTTTTTGCAAGTCGGAGATTTTATTTTGAGTTAAGCTAAGGTTTGTCAGGTTGCCGAGGCGAGCGAATGTGTTAGCTTGGATGTTGCTGATGAGGTTGTTGCTTAGAGTTAGTGTTACCATGCTGGAATCATGAGGGAAATCATCCTCCTGTAACTGTACAATCTTGTTGTTGTCTGAGAAAAATATGGCCACCGCCTGTGGTAAACTTTTCGGGAACGCAATCAGCTCGTTGTTGCTGACTCTTAAATCACTGAGGTATAACATCTTAGAGAAGGAGCCGTCTTGAATTATCCCGATTTGGTTGTAGTCTAAGTAAATTTTTTCGAGATAGTACAATTTTTCGAAATTAGTTCTCTCGATGATGGTTATATTGTTGTTTGTGATCTTTAAGTACCTCAACCCCCACGGGAGATTGCTGGGTACTTTAAGCAGCTCACAGAATGAAACATCTAGATACAGTAGGTTGCTCAAGCCACTTAAGGTATCCAGACGACCTAGGGGATTCCCCTTTAAATCCAGGTGATAGAGCCTTGTCAAACCATTGAAAGCCTGGGACGAAATAAAAGAGATTTGATTATCACTTAAGGTTAAGAGCGCCAAATTTTCTAGGCCCTTGAAGCTGTCGTCTTTGATTGAAGTCAGTCTGTTTTGATTTAACTGCAGTCTCTCGAGGTTGGTGATGTTTTCAAATTTCCCAGAAATATCCGTCAACTTGTTGTTGTTGAGGTACAGAAGACTCAACATCGGCACATTGGCAAACGCTCCGTCTTCAATATTCTCAATGCTGTTTTCCTCAAGGAACAAGTCCCTTAGCCTGCTGAGGTTAGAGAAAGCTTCGGCTTTTAGTTCCGTTATCGAATTTGTTTGCAGAAAGATGCTCTCGAGATTTTCAAATTTCGCCAGCATCTCCCCGTCGATATCTGTGATTTTGTTGTTCTGCATGAACATGGTTACTATGGTAACTGGAATGTCTTCTGGTATCTTCTCAAAGTCCGTCTTGTAGCAGTCCACCTGGAAATCATCGCATGTGCACTTTGTGGGGCAGCAGTGGCTGTACCCCACCATCACCGCAAGCACCAACAGCAGGAGTTCTCTTTCCATTTTTCTTTATTTTATAGTATGTTTTTCAATTATACTTATCAAATGATTAATGATTGCCCTATAGACCGTCAGGTTTGAAAAGCAAACTTTATCAAATGATTAAGCGGTCTGGGTAAGCACTTGCAGAATGTGTTCACATTCACATCTTTTAATGTAATCCAGTATGAAAATCAAACCACATTTATACTTAAATTAACTGAAATTAAATTAAATACTTTAGTAAACAAAGTTTAATCTTTGGTCACCACAAAATTTCCTTTGTTGAAAACTGTAATAACCTAGTCAACTTGATTTAATCTTGCATGTAATTAAATTAAAATTTTCCTTTTGTTCGAAATTGAAACATGTCTAGCATGGTAAAGTCCACTTATTGAGGGAGGTGCAGGTTCCAAATGAAGTAATACTTAAGCTGCTGTCAGTGAAATCACAACATCTTGCCTTCGCCTCATAAAGTACTTCCTGTACTGTAAAACCTCTTATTTTATAGCCGGTGTGATGAGTTCATTTGGACTCAAGTCTATTTTTAGACGAGAATGGCAAGTAAATATATTACTTGACTCCATTCAATATTTTTATGTTAAAGTGTTTAACAAAATATTTTGTTCCCTTACAAATGCCAGCTGTAGTAATCTTAATCCAATAGACCTTTTCATGGACTTAGACAAGGGAACGAGGGTATGAATTAATGGAAACCGAAAATTGGAATCAATGTATATTTTAAAAATATTTTGTCGAAAAAAATATCAATTTTGATGTGTTTGAATTTTCATAAAATTTGATTTTATTTATGGTAGAGAAGTTCTAAGTGATCTATACTGCTGGACATAATTTTTAATAAAAATTTATCTGCCACAAATTATATTATTTACACTTGTTGCAAATGTGTTGGCTTTTTTTTTTTTTTGGCTATACACATTGTAACTTAAGCAGAAAAGGAGCTATGTAGTAACATGACTGGGGTGGGGTTACTCTGATGGTACTCTGTTTTTCTGAGTAGAGGATGGTTGACTATCTCAAGATGTTGGACCTTATACTGGGGTGAGTAGAGGGTGGTTGACTATGTCAAGATGTTGGACCTTATACTGGGGTGAGTAGAGGATGGTTGACTATGTCAAGATGTTGGACCTTATACTGGGGTGAGTAGAGGATGGTTGACTATCTCAAGATGTTGGACCTTATACTGGGGTGAGTAGAGGATGGTTGACTATCTCAAGATGTTGGACCTTATACTGGGGTGAGTAGAGGGTGGTTGACTATCTCAAGATGTTGGACCTTATACTGGGGTGAGTAGAGGGTGGTTGACTATGTCAAGATGTTGGACCTTATACTGGGGTGAGTAGAGGATGGTTGACTATCTCAAGATGTTGGACCTTATACTGGGGTGAGTAGAGGATGGTTGACTATCTCAAGATGTTGGACCTTATACTGGGGTGAGTAGAGGGTGGTTGACTATCTCAAGATGTTGGACCTTATACTGGGGTGAGTAGAGGGTGGTTGACTATCTCAAGATGTTGGACCTTATACTGGGGTCAGTAGAGGGTGGCTATGTCAAGATGTTGGGCCTTATACTGGGGTGAGTAGAGAGTGGTTGACTATGTCAAGATGGTGAACGTTCTGAGTCTGCTTGATTAATGCCCCTGTCATCACCTCCTTAAAAAATGGACCAAACATTAGCACATTTGAATACAATGGCTTTTCTTTTTTGGTTTAATAATATACTAATTCACCCACCACTTCACATTGTTAAATACTTTTATTCAAATTTTTTACCCTTTTTCTGGGACCCTTTTACATAATCATCCTTATACTTGCTAATAGGTCAGCTCTTCTTCACCTATCCCTCAAGACAACAGTAATCACTTGTATAATTTTGTGGTCTAATTAAAAAAAAAAGTAGTACTTATTTTTAAAAGTTAGAAAAGTCTGGGGTTATTTGTTTGGTCGTTTAATCACTCCAACCGTATAAAATAAATTGAGGCTAATATTTTTCCACAGTTGTAAGTCTACGGTAGTACTTTACTGTAAAAAAAAAATATATATATATATATATATATAAAGCCTATATATATAGGCCTATATATATATATATATATATTTTTTTTTTTTATCATAATACATTTCTCCTGACCATAATCAACATAAACATACTTATTGGCTACTAAAGCTGCAGAAAAAAACTGCACCTAGGAAATTTTCCACAACTTTTGCCCCACAGGTTTTTTAAATAGCCAACGACATCGTGCTTTTTCCACACCACCCACACACTACTACAACACACTACTACAACGTTTTCTTATTTTTTATCATGGTATAACCCCCTCTGTTCAAGATTCCCTTCCCACAAACCGACCGCGGTTTTAAGAGTATATCTTTTAATCATCCTTGACCTCACTCCAAATTTTACGCATCTACATCAGAAGACGTACAACATGCTCCCTTCCCCCGCGTATTTTTTCCTGTGCCAGTGCCCCTCTTGAGCATTGAAGCATCCTTGGAGTCGTCTGTGTAATTAACAACTCAAGAATAATGAGATGATTGCAAGTAGTATTTCCTGTAAAGGCTTCCAGCTATTTATAGATTTTTTCCCCCTCTCACATTTCTGTAAGCATGCTAAAATTTGACATGGTGTTTTTTTAACTTAACTTGTTTGAGGTTTATAAAACAAATTAATGGGTTAGTGATATTATTTAAGAGTATTTTGTATTTGGTTTGAGATAATAAACAACCAAAAGTGTAATTTGATGTTAATTTAGTTTTGAAATATATATTTTTTTTATGAACTGTCAAACACTTTCAATAAATCAGCACCAAACAGTTTGCTTATTCTGATTAAGTATGAAAACAAAATTATTTGCAAAAAAAGCTTTGTTGTTTTTAAATGGGCTACCCTGGCACTTGGAAAAATAATAAACCCAGTCCCATTTTAAGCTTATTGGATGGCGTTTCTCTGGGCTATAAAGTTGATTCAACTGAAATGCCATTGACAAAATGGCCCCCATTAAAATGGCCCCCAACATTACGAAGCTTGATAAAAGAACCCTTATTTACAAAGTATGCTATCTGTAATAAGTTTATCTTCTTTATATCGTGTAACATCTTTAAAAGGATATCTAACATTTCAAGTGACTGCTTCTTTAATTGGTGGATTGATCAAATTAAATTTTAATCATTGAAAAGTATTTGAATATAGGATTGTTTGTTTTTAATATTTTGAAGCATATACAATTTAGATACTGTAAGAGGTTAGTATTTAAAGGTGGGACATTGACCTTTGGGCTGAAACAGAGCCATTGCAATGCTGGAGTTTATGAAAATTGTTCCAGAACTCAGTTCCACTTCAAAACCCTTGTCTGTTTAGTGTCATCTGTTTGTTTAGTATCATCTGTCTAGTGTCATCTGTTGAGTGTCATCTGTCTAGTGTCATCTGTTTAGTGTCATCTGTTTGTTTAGTATCATCTGTCTAGTGTCATCTGTTGAGTGTCATCTGTCTAGTGTCATCTGTTTAGCATCATTAGTCTAGTGTCATCTGTCAAATATCATCTGTCTAGTGTCATTTGTTTAGTATAATCTGTCTAGTATCATCTGTCTAGTGTCATCTGTCTAGTGTCATCTGTTTAGCGTCATTAGTCTAGTGTCATCTGTCAAGTATCATCTGTCTAGTGTCATCTGTTGAGTGTCATCTCTTGAGTGTCATCTCTTGAGTGTCATCTCTTGAGTGTCATCTGTCTAGTGTCATCTGTTTAGTGTCATCTGTCTAGTATCATCTGTCTAGTGTCATTTGTTTAGTATCATCTGTCTAGTGTCATCTGTTGAGTGTCATCTATCTAGTGTCATCTGTCTAGTGTCATCTGTTGAGTGTCATCTGTCTAGTGTCATCTGTTGAGTGTCATCTGTTGAGTGTCATCTGTTGAGTGTCATTAGTCTAGTGTCATCTGTTTAGCGTCATTAGTCTAGTGTCATCTGTCAAGTATCATCTTTCTAGTGTCATTTGTTTAGTATCATCTGTCTAGTGTCATCTGTTGAGTGTCATCTGTTGAGTGTCATCTGTCTAGTGTCATCTGTCTAGTGTCATCTGTCTAGTGTCATCTGTTCAGTGTCATCTGTTCAGTGTCATCTAGTTTTATCCATTAGGCTGTGATATGTCTGGGTGAGAGAGCACAGGATGTTTTAAACCATGTCCCAGACTTGGAAAGCAAACTCCAAAATCAAGCAACTTCTGCCTTGCTGATTGGTCTTGTATAGACAAATACAAAGCGAATTCATAAAGAAAAGCATATGTCAACAGACCATAGAGCATAAAACATTTTGACAAGTAATAGTAAATCATTTTTAAGGAAATCTTCTCCAATATTACAAAAATGAATGTAGAAATCATCAAATTAAAACTTTAAAAAAAAAATTGAATCAATATCATATTATAACTGTTTTAAGTATCACCACATTTGATGAAGTCTTCTTTGTTTATTTGGCCATGATTTCTTGTCTTAAAGTGTTCCAGAAAATGGCCAGTTTGTTTACCAACCACACTTAACCTTTGTTCCATTGTTTTTTTCATGAGTGGTTTTTACAGCTACCATGTTTACTCTGTTGTGTTGCTTTGAAGTGCCTGCCACTTGACTTTAATTGTTTTGTATCTTTTAATCTTAACTTTTTTAAAACACTTATCTTTGTTTATGTAATAGTTTAATTTTTGTATGTAATTTTTACGTAACTTACTTTTTTTTTGGTAAGTTAGTTATTTTATCTGCTACTGTTGATAGATCTCTTCAGAGGAAGTAGATATGATCATTTTATTTCTTCTGGCTTTATATATCAGATAGATTATCAATCCTAATAGCCCTCTTACATGGGAAAATTACCTTCAATGCAATTAGTGCATAGATTTCACCAGAATTAAAAACTTTTTTATTAAAAAGTATTTTGTGACCCTTGGCTCAGCATTAAAGTTCAACAAGCACTCCAGCATTAACCCTAGCCATTCATGTAAGTAGGAAGAGGGTTGTTTAAGGGTAGGGGTGGGTTAGAATCTCACCCCCCCCCCTCCACCCCGGCCGTCTGTCCCGTCTCACATGATGTCTCATGTTTATATTTTTTTTCCTCTAATACCAAAAACATTGAATAATTAAAATTAAATTAAACACAAATACACCAAAGTTGTATTTTCTGACCACAATATTTATTTTGTATTTTCCTCACAAAATCTCTTTAGGATTAGGCCCAATGTAAAAGACTATGTTAGCAATGCTAGTGCATTTATAGCCTCAGAAATATTTGACCAAAATTTTCATAATTGCAACTGTCACTGATGATGTTGATTACAATGTGACTTAGACTATAGTAGCAATACTAGTATATATACAACTTCAAAAATGTCTAACCAACATTTTTATGATTGCTAATCTGGTTTATAATGTGGTTTATAATGTGGCTTATAATGTGCATTATAATGTGGCTTATAATGTGGTTTATAATTGGCTTATGTGCATTATGATGTGGCTTATAATGTGCATTATAATGTACATTATAATGTGGTTTATTATATACATTATAATGTGGTTTATAATGTTTATTATATGTTTTATAATGTGGCTTATAATGTGCATTATAATGTATATTATAATGTGGTTTATCATGTACATTATAATGTGGTTTATAATGTTTATTATGTGTTTTATAATGTGGCTTATAATGTGGTTTATAATGTGTTTAATAATGTGGTTTATAAATTGTCCTTTAACAGGGCCCCAGAGATCGGCTGATGTAGAAGAAGATGAAGAGGTGGAGGAAACAAATGAGATAGAAGAGGAAGAAAGACAAGAGGTTCAAAGATCAGAGACAGAGTTTGATTTTAAGACATTTCTTCACGAGTACGTGTCATGTTGTGGAATTTATGTTCATCGTTCATGTTAAAAGTCTGTCATGATGTTAGTTACTAAGATAGGCAGTTCTTTTGTGCAAAAGTGGGTTTTTTAATGTTTTTTTTTTACTAAACACCTGCGCCATGACGCACATGTTTATCACTTTCATTTTTTTAGTCACACCAAAAAAAAAGTAGTCATTTCAGAGTGTTATAAATTACTACAAACAATTAGCATCGAGGGAATATTTAGTTGTTTACCAAATGTATTTAATAATAAATAATCGTTTCTTGTTACATATACTGAATGACTTTTTAAATGATTTAGCTATAACACTAATTTTGAGGGGGAAAAATATTTTAACTTAATCATTCCATTATGTATTTTTTTCACCATGAGTTTTTAATTTTTTAAAAGTTTTTTTTTTAAATTTACAATTGTTTCAAGTGTTGATCAATTTGAACATGTTGATCAATATGAACGTGTTGATTAATTTGAATGTGTTGATCAATATGAACATGTTGATCAATTTGAATGTGTTGATCAATATGAATGTGTTGATCAATTTGAATGTGTTGATCAATATGAACATGTTGATCAATTTGAATGTGTTGATCAATATGAATGTGTTGATCAATATGAACGTGTTGATCAATATGATTGTGTTGATCAACACGTTCATATTGATTAAAATGAATGTGTTGATCAATTTGAATGTGTTGATCAATATGAAAGTGTGAATGTATTAGAAAGGGACAGCATGGCTATAACTCTTCTTGCCCCATGGACCATTAAGTCTGAAAAGGGAATGCCTTCTAAAATAAAAATTTTAGTACTATACAATTTTTCTTTTTCTTCAATAAATGTTTTTTTCTTTCCTGCCCTTCAGCTTTGCCCACCAAGACATCGTCAAGGCTTATGGTATACTGCTGGCTGAGTTTACCACCAACTCTGACCTGGTAAACCACTGTGTTGTAAAAATGCTACATCGTTTGTCACATGACCTTGGCTATGTCGGCATGTTGTTTCAGGCGTCCATTTTCAAAAGTTTCAACGCTCTGTTGAATGGCATTCATACTGGTTTATCTAGATACAAGGTTAGTAACAATTTTATTATTAACAGTGTACTTTTATTTCCTGTAAGGGACATGTAAGAGAGGTTGAGAGAGTGTTTTTTTTTTTCTAGCCTAAAAGTCCCAAGTCTGAATCTAAGTTACAAGCAGGTCTATTAGCAGTCCTTGAGTCCATCACTCGTGGCTATGTGATAAGGAAGTTATAGACAGCTAGCTATTGCACTGGACTACACATTTCAATATTTATACTAGGACCAGAGTGGTTGATAGGGGCGGTGTGGTTGAATGGTAGAGCATTTGACTGCTAGCCCAAAATTCTTGAGTTTGGATCTTTGGTTGGACTTGTGATTGCAGGATGTCCCTTAGTCCACCCAGCTCAGATAGGTACCTGACTCATGTTAGGGAAATCAAGGTGGCTTGGCCTTGTGCTGACCACACCATCCCTTCATGCTCTGAGTTCATTGAAACATAAACTCTACTTCATCTATTCTTGGAACGAACAGGAAAAGATGATAATGAGAGCGCCAGATATAATGCAGCATCTTTATTAACCGTCAAGCAACAAAGTGGAACATTAACATTAATATGAAATTTAACATTGTCTTTGTTGGATAACATATGCCATATTTGCTTTATTTACCCTACTCACTACAAACTGAATATTTTCTAGACATCCAATGGCAATAACTTTTATGGACATTTCTGTTAAATTGAAACAAAATAAATCCTCATTTACTTTATAAAAAAAAATTAAAAAATGCTTTTGGCCAAGATTAGAAGATCTGACATTAGAAAGAGATGTTGCCTATATGTGTGATTGTGTGGCCGCAGCCATGTTTGTGTGGTGTTATTACAGTAACTTTTCTGACCCTACCCCCATCATTGTGGCCATCTTTCCCAAGTCAGTTAACACTTAAAGTTTGTTGAGCTCCTGATACAAATTGGAATTCTATTTAAACCCAGGCTACTTTAAATGACCAAACCATTCTATTTTAAAATCTGAATAAAAGTTCAATTTAAAAAAAAAAAACCACTGTATTACCATTCTGAACAGGAGCTATCAAAGTTTGCCTGCTATGTCATTAGACAGTTCACAGCCATAGCAAAAAACAACCCCAAGGTGTTTGTTGACATCATGTTCTGGAAAAACAAAACTGAATCTCTGGCTATAACTGGAGGCTACGATTTTGAGAACAAAAGGTTGGTTAATTCACAATGTTATTTCTTTAAAAAAATATTTTTTGATATTAATTACAAATTTAAGAATTTAAGAGACTTAATAATTTAGTTTTGATGTCCAATAATAGACTCTTCTAAAAATAGGTGTGTTCAGTTGTTAGTAGTATTGTAATCTCGAGTTGTTTTATGGTTAGAAATTAAGGTTAGGCCTATGGTAGGACTAGGGTTGGGATTAGGTTTAGAGATAGGGTTACCATTGACAAGGGCAAGCCATGTGTGTATTTTAGTTAACTACCAGTAACCTAACAACCCTTATTTAAGAAGATTCTATTATTGGACACTTGTAATAAAAAAAAATCCCTCTTTGTATGAAACAAAAGTTCATATTCTTTGAAATATTTTTTGTTTAGTAAAGCCAAAATGCTGTGGACTGAAGATCAAGAACAAGAGTTACTGTACCTGTATGAGAAGTACAAAGACACTACACATCCTGGTATGTTTTTTTTTATATTTATGCAATAACATTTCCATCTCTACCTTAAACTAGTATACTAGGTCTGTAGTCTGTTTGTGCTTAACTTTTTGAATTTTTAGTCATATATTAGCAAATAGGTATTTTGTAATGCTAAAGTTTTTCGAATATATAAAAAAAATTGATCCTGATATTTAGTAACTTCTGTAGTCAACACACTTGAAACATTTTAACATTTGATTGGTTGAAAAAATGAAAATGGAAACTATAAATCTGTAATGTCCTTTTTTTTTGTCTTATTAAATGTTTTAAGTTAATTTATCACAAGTATTTGCGTCTAAATTGCTCAAAGTAATTATTTAGCGTAGCTCATTATAGCAGATTAATAGTACACATTTTAACTATTTTAATATGAAAAAATAGTTTCAAAACTATAGCTATCGAAATTATTTGTTTGTACAAACATTTTTAAAATTAACAAAACTAAAGATAAAAGTGGTATATTTATTAATTAAAATTACTATGGTGAGTTTATCCAGTTGAGTAGTTCATACTAATGTGGAAATTGTGGGTTTGTCTTGAACTAGCATAATTAATCACCAGTAGCTATGAATAGGGTTGTGAAAGGATTTGAGTATAGGTCAGAGCAAGCGTACGTATGAATAATTATCTCATACAAAGATTTAGGGATAGATGTCTGATTTTATACATTGTATATACGGTGGCATTCATGCTAAGTTGTAATCTCCATATGGTGTTTTTACAAGTTGATGCACAACTTTTGAAAATCTTGTAAATATTATACCTGTGAAAATTCATTGTTTAATAAAAAGATTGATAAAACCATTGTTTGCTTTACACAGAAAAAGATGTAGTTGATTTGATTCTGGGTGATTTGACATCATCCCACACTAGAGTTCAGGTCTTGAAGGAGCTGAAAAGACAAGGTCTCATCACCAGTGCTAAAGATATCAAGAAGAAAGGAAAAAGGTAGCCATTTTGAAATCTTTACACTACAGCTTGCATGGGAGTTGATTGTAGTACACCTTGTATACTTTACTATACCATTTGCTATGTTCTCAAGTACATTTTCTTTTTAACTTGTAGCTAAATAACAGAAATTAATCATTAAATATAATGTATTAGAAAATGTTTGTATAGTGCCATTAATATCTTCATTGCATTTCATGTTTTTATGTGGTCTTGTATAATTTCTCATTATTATATTGTTAGCTCTGTGATTTTTATTTTATATCAAGAGCAATTCAGTTTCGTTATCATATTTACTTATGGCTTAATTAAGCTGGGGTCTTAAAACAGCTTCACAAATTACCTATAGCTATTTGAAGTAAAATAAAGTAATGCCAGTTAGGCTAACTAGAGAGATATGTAAATTGATTTGTAAAATATTTTCTTGTCACAGCGGTCGAGCTTGGAGCGAGGAGGAGATAGAGGAGCTAAAAGATTTGTACCAACAGTTCAAGGACTCTGACTGTAAGTCTTAATTATACTTGTGTTAATTTCAACTGTAAGTCTTAATGATACTTGTGTTAATTTCAACTATAAGTCTTAATGATATGTGTTAATTTCAACTGTAAGTCTAAATGATACTTGTGTTAATTTCAACTGTAAGTCTTAATGATATTTGTGTTAATTTCAACTTTAAGTCTTAATGATATGTGTTAATTTCAACTGTAAGTCTTAATGATACGTATGTTAATTTAAGTTATTTGCGCAATTTATACAACACTGTTTAAACAATATAGAACAAGCTTAAAAAAGAAAACACACATTCTATACGTCACATAGTATTTGTTTATATTGTTACAATAAATTTTTTAATTTACCGGGTTTTTTTTATTAATGTTTTTGAAATAATAGTCTAAAAATACAAATATCTTACTTCAGAGATATAATTAAATTTTTTTTTACATTTTTGACAAAATTACTAAGTTTGAATTTCAAACATTTTTTTTGAAGATCCAATTTCTGAAATATTGAAACTTGTACCTGGTGGTACAATTTTTTAATCTGCCGAGGTTTTTTATAAATGTTTTTTGAAATAAGAGTCTAAAAATACAAACATCTTACTTCACAGAAATTATTAAAGTATGTTTAAATTTTTGACAAAATTTAATTTTTAAACATTTTTTTTGAAGATCCGATTTCAGAAATATTAAAACTTCTACCTGGTGGTAAATCCAAGAATGTTGTCATTGGGAAGTTGCTGGAACTAAGACTTATTGATGACAGACGAGAGGTCCTGAAGAAAAGAAAGGGCAGAAACAGGAGGAGACATGATGATAGCAGCGAAGGAGAAATGCTGTTCCCTGAGGAAGGTGGGTTGTTGGTGATGTTCCCTGAAGAGCTAGGCTAATGTTCCCTGGGGAAGGTGGGTTATTGGTGATGTTCCCTGAGGAAGGTGGGTTGTTGGTGATGTTCCCTGAGGAAGGTGGGTTGATAATGATGTTCCTTGAGGAAGGTGGGTTGTTGGTGATGTTCCCTGAGGAAGGTGGGTTTTGGTAATGTTCCTTAAAGATGGTAGGTTGTTAATGCTGTTCCCTGAGGAAGGTGGAATGTTGATGATGTTCCTAAAGAACTGGGTTAATGTTCCCTGAGGAAGGTGGGTTTTGAGTTTTGGTGCTGTTCCTTAATGATGGTAGGTTGTTAATGCTGTTCTCTGAGGAAGGTGGAATGTTGATGATGTTCCTAAAGAACTGGGTTAATGTTCCCTGAGGAAGGTGGGTTTTGGTGATGTTCCTTAACGATGGTAGGTTGTTAATGCTGTTCCCTGAGGAAGGTGGAATGTTGATGATGTTCCCTGAGGAAGGTGGGTTGTTGGTGATGTTCCCTGAGGAAGGTGGGTTTTGGTGATGTTCCATAAAGATGGTAGGTTGTTAATGCTATTCCCTGAGGAAGGTGGAATGTTGATGATGTTCCCTGAGGAAGGTGGGTTGTTGGTGATGTTCCCTAAAGAACTGGGTTAATGTTCTCTGAGGAAGGTGGGTCGTTGGTGATGTTCCTTAAGGAAGGTGGGTTGTTGAAATGATGTTCTTTATGGATGTTAGGTTGTTAACAATGTCCCCTAAGGAAGTGGATTGTTAATAATGTTCCCTGAGGAGCTTGATTAAATGATTTTCCCTAAAGAAGTGTTTTGTTAACCATGTTCCCCAAGGAAGTGGGTTGTTGATGCTGTTCCCTGAGGAAGGTGGATTACTAATGATGTTCCCTAAAATGGTTTGTTAACCATGTTCCCCAAGGAAGTGGGTTATTGATGCTGTTCCCTGAGGAAGGTGGATTACTAATGATGATGGGTGCCTAACTCCTGCTATGGAAGGAAAGTAAAAGTGCTGACCATACCTTCCCTTCATATATCTAGGTCAAGAACCATATGAACTCTTCTTCATCTGCTCAATGGATCATTAGGTCTTAAGAGGATTCTTTACTTTTGGACATTCTAATGATTATAGGAAATTGAATAGCTAAAGATCAATTCAATCTAATGTTAAACATACAAAATTTCTATATGCTAAGATCATACTGTCAGCTTTAGAAGGAAAATTGACTTTCCTGCTTTATAAACTGTTTTTGTTTAATATCTACTACCCTACATTTTTGTTGCAGGTAATAAAAGAAGAGGAAGGTCTAGTGAAGAAAGTGATGCCAGTGATAGCAGCGAGGATGGGAATGATGAAGATGGTAATGATGAGGAACACACAAGATTATCAGATGGAGGAAGTAGAGTTTCTGTTGTTGATCAGATAAAGGGGCTTGCAGAGAAAGGTGAGTTAATTTAATAATTAATCTATTAATCTATATATATATTAAAGGAGAGAATACAAAGTATGTAATTTTAGTTCATCTTCATTATACGAAAAATAGAAAGGATATAATTTTACATTTTAATTCATTTCACTAGATAAATATACCTATGGTTGTACATTTTTCAAAAGTTCAAAATTTAGTTGTTGTTTTTTTATATATATTATTATAGTTAGGTTGTTTATGAGCTTAGATTTACATTTTAAATTGTGTGTCATCTGCATAAAATGTTGCTGCAGAAAATTGCTTTGATACACTTTAAATAGTTTACTCTAAACTGGGATAGTAATTGATGTTTTTTTTTCTATTTTATGGTCTAAAATTGAATATATTTCAGTTGAGTAGCCCCTGATGTATGTCCTCATATTTTTCAGGCTATCGTAATCAGCTAGCATGGATGCAGAGAGGATTAAGAAGTGCCGCAGAGGATAGGGATGAGGGAGGTAAAAACCAAATTAAGATGTTTGAGTTTATTTATAACTTTCAAACAAATTTTTTTTTTAAAATCAGCTTGGATTGTTAGTTAAAATTATTTCTCATCAGATATTACTCATAAACTGAGTAAATCTGCAAGTAACGTGGCCTAGATGTTCATAACGAAAGCGTGTAGGCACGGAGAGATTGTGTGTGAGAGTGGCCTCCCCTTAGAAATGTGTGAACTGTAGTGTGTAATCAGAGTGTGGTGTATTGTCAACTTAGGGTAGCATGTAGTCAGTGGTTTTCGTTTCAATGTTCACTGTTTCTCTGTAGTAAGTTACAAATTATATTGGACTGTTATAAATGAACTGTGGATTCTGTTTTTAATTTGTGTTGTGCCTGGTTCCAAAACAAATGGAAAGCTGAGCATAACAATATTAAGCATAATGTTTAAAAATTTTTTGATTTTCAGTATGTGTCCCCACACCCATTGTGCCCCTGACAGAAGAAAATGAAACAGCAATGGAAGACGAAGTATTTTTAGCTTTCTTGCGCACCATTGGGATCAGCTCACCAGTTGGTGAACAGGTAAATCTTAATTCAAGTGATTTTTTTTTTCATTTGATTCAGCAACTAATATTGATTATTCTGATTTCTATTTTTATTGTATCTTTAGAGTTGCTTCCCTTTATGTCTGATTGTTGAACTGTATCATCTTGTGATGTTGAATTTTTTAAAAATGTCCTTTGATAGTTTCTCATATTAATTTAAAGTGTGTATTAGTAAAAAGCTTGAACATAGAAATTAAATTCCCAGTTGACCACATACTGATATTATCATTAAATGTTATTTCCTAAATTTTATTTCAAACCAATTTTCCACTTTAACATATTTTTTAAATTAATGAGTTTAATTATATTACTATTACAGTACAAATAATGTATATTTGTTTCCAGGAAGTATTTTGGAGAATTCCAGCAGAATTTTCCGCTATTGAGTTGCGGCAAATAGCCGATGGCCTTGAGTTGTCAGAAGAAGGTGAAGTTCTGGCTAGAGAAATTGAGAAAATAGTTTCCAAACATTTCCCGACTTCATCCCCATCTGCAGCAAATAGAGAAACAAAGAAAAAATTAAAACCAAAGAAAGATAAGTCAAAGTTGAAAACTGATCGAAAAAAGCCAGATCGGAAACCTAGACAGAAGAAAAATAACGATGATTTTATAAACGACAAAGACGGACACAATAGCTCGGGAAGTGATAGATCGTTATCAGATAGTGATGAAGATATTCCGAAGAAAGCGTTTGTGATGCCCAAAGTTGTGAAAGGAAGTGACACCAGCGACTCTGGCCTTGACCCCGAGATAGAGCGCAGGGAACAAGAGAGAATCCAAGCGGAGAAGAACCAGAAGAGGAAAAGTTCCCACAGAGTGACGGAGGAGAGAAGAAATGCTTTAAAGAGAATGCTGGAGAGGAAGAACGAAAGAAAGAAGAAGACTGCAGATGACACAGATTCAAGGTATGTCATTTATTCTTAGGGTCAGAGGTGAAAGTAGCTAATTAGGTCAGAGGTCTGTGTAACTTACTAGAGTTAGAGTTTAAAGAAACTAAGATTCCAATGTCAAGGTAATGAAGGTCAGAGGTCAGTAACTTACTAGGGTTAGAGCTTAATAAAGAAAATAAGATTCAGAGGTCAACTAATTAGATCAGAGGTCAGTGTAATTTAGTAGGTTTATGTAGAGTTTAAAGAAACAAGGATTCAGAGGTCTAAGTAACTAATTAGGTCATAGGTCAGTGTAACTAATAAGAAGAAGGTATTTTCAAATTATTATTTTTAATCTGTTTTAGGGACCCAGCTTCAAAAGAAACCAAAACCAAGTCGCCAGCCAAAGATGCTGATAATGAAAGTAGTAGCCAGCCTAAGGTTGATAAATCTCCTAAATCAGATTCTAGCTCCAGGAAAAAGATTGCAGCCATCCAGTCAGATTCTGAGAGGTTTGTTTTTAAAATATTCAACATTCATGCAGCTAAATATATGTAATGCTTAACTTTTAAACATGTTTGTTAAACTAAAAAACTTTAAAGTGTTACTACGTGAGCCATTTTTTGCAATGGCAAGAACTTATATTTAGGCACAAATATAAATATTACATTTTCATCTTTTATGATAGTTTTGTTTGATTTCGAGGCCTTAAAGGGTTGATTTAGGTAATGTGTACTGTAGGGTTTTATTACTAGTGGACCATCAACATTAAAGGACTTGTAACTTTAATTATTTTGTTCATTACGCTCACTAAAGTTATATGTTGTGTTGGATGTTCACAGTAAGCTTAACTTTGTTTGAGACCCCAATAGGGCTTGATTTTGTTTAGAGTATACAAAATATGCTTAAAAAATGTAAATATTACATTCTTTCATCTTTCCTTGTTTGTGCCCCAAATGGAGTAGAGGAAGTAGAGTTCATCTGTTTCAGTTACCTTGGTATATAAAGGGATGGTGGTGTCAGCACTAAGCTCAGCCGCCTAGTTTCCTTAACTTTTGTCAGGTGCCCATCAGAGTTGGGCGGACTCTGGGACGTCTCAGATTCGAGGCCGATTATATTGTTTACAGCAAGTAAAATAATTATTAACAAATTATGTATGCCTCTTATTTCCCCACAACTGTTTCAGTGATACAAGTAGCTTGTCCAGCTTATCCCATGATAGTGGAGATGATACAAGACTATCACAACCAGATGGTACCCAGGCTAGCAGTCAAGCCTCAGATGATACAAGACTATCACAACAAGAGGGTAGCACACAATCCAACAGCCAAGCCTCAGGGGATACAAGACTATCTCAACAATCAAACAGCCAAGCCACGCCAGTATCTGCCAAGTCAAAGAAAAGATTCCTTCAGTCTGGAAGTGAGAGGTGAGGTCATATTTTGGTCACTCAAAGCCAGTCTCCTGGCCTCTATTCTTCTCTTTAAAACGCATGGGTTGCAAGCATTGTCAGATATTTCATGAGTAACAAATCATTTTGCTTAAGCAAGAAAACAAATTTTCATTGTCTATTTTTATGCATTAAAAAGCTTGTTATTTTGAAGTTTTTGTATTTATTATATTTTTTTTTTTAAATTTAACTTTTACAGTGATTCAACTAATGGAAATGATGAAACAAAGGGAGATAAATCGTTGACTAAGAAACGCTTAAAGAGAATTAGAGTTGTCTCCTCTGACGACGACTCCGAAAAAGAAAACACAGACAAAATGGATGATGATGATAAGGGTCAGTACATTTACAAAATTTCTTTTTTTTTTTGTATCATTATTAATACTTATTAGGAGAAAACTATAATGTTATAAAACAATTCTTTAATGTGTATCATTAACCTTTTTAACTCAAAGATGGCTTATGCAAATTCAATAAAAACGTGCAGGTCTATATTCTTATAGAGATACATGATGGTAACAATCATGATAGATTATATTTTCAAATTTTAAAATACTTTTGTTTTTACAAATTTTTTTTCTGAAAAGCACTTATAAAAAAATCGAAATTTGAGCAAATAATACACCATTTAACTGTAAAAGAGTAGAGAAGATGGAAGCAGGTTTTGTTACTGAAATAGCAATATAAACAGAAAATGATATTTCAACGCCAAGGGTAGACAAAAAGTAAAAAAAAAAAAAGTAAAGTTCCCTTTCAAACCTGACAGTCTATGGGGCAAGTGAAGTAGAGTTCACTTGTTTCTGTGACCTCGGCATAGACAAAGGGTAGACAAAGGTTCAGAAAATAGTCCAAGTAGAGACAGCAGTTTTAAACCCAACAGGATCCGAACCTACCAAAAATAAGGAAATTTTCAGTTTTTTTTTTTTATTTTTAACTCTTTGAGTCAAAACCTTATGCTAAATATTATAGCATTAGGTTTAGAAATAAGCATTATGGTTATTTTGGTTTTCATCACCTGCCCATGCCCTTAAGAGATTATGTGGTCGAATAGTAGAGCGTTTGACTCCCCAAAGGTCTTGAGTTTGGATCTCTGTTCAGACTTGTATCAGCTAGACGTCCCTGAGTCCACCCAGCTCTGATGGGTACCTGGCTCATGTTAAGGAAACAAACGGCGGCTGGGCCTGGTACTGACCACACATATGCTGAGGTCATTGAAACAGATGAACTTTATTTCATCTGCTCCATTTTTCTTGGGCGCAAATGGGAACAGCCGATGACGATGAACCTCAGTGTTATATAATTTATTATGGAACTGAGCTACAGTTTATCAGTCGTGCGCTCCACCATCCAACAATACCACCCCATTCTTACATGATGGGGTAACAATATTTTCCCACAGGTCTGTCTAGTCAGAAGGAAGAGAGTTTTAAGCTTCTGTTTTCTGGGAGTGATGATGAAGGGGATGATCATGCAAAGGAAAGACAGAGTGAAACAACAGAAAGTGAGCCTGTAGGAAAATCAGCAGGTAATTTACATTTTTGTTCTCAGGTGCTTTCATTTTTATATTGTATGATTTTTTTTTTTTTAATTAAAATTTGTGATGCATTTAGAAAAAATAGTATTTAATTTTGATTTTTTTTTTTTTTATTTTTTTTTTAATTTAAAAAAAATGTGCAAGTGCTTGACTGCAATGCTGTCACCTATTGGTCATAATGTGCCTTGATAATCTAATGTTAACTTAAAAAACATTACTTGTTATTGATACAATTAGAGAACATCAATGATTGCTGAAAAGTCTACAGTTTGATGATTTGATTGTGGTGAGGGTTAGGGTAATGTAAGCATTATCTTAGATAAAAAAACTGAAACCTGATTTTTATTGTGTTTGTCAGATTCTTTCCCTGCAACACTGTTTACTCAAGGTGTGGATTCTGATGATGAAGAGGATGATCATATCTCTCTCAGAACAGCCATGAAGAGAAAGAGAGCTATCATAGAGGATGATGATGATTAAATCTCAGTAACCTCCCTTATCAAAGACAATTTACCAAGGTCATGAAAGAGTTGTTGAACTTGAGTTTCATAAATCTAATAAAATTATTAGCAAGTTTTTAGAAATAGCTAATCATAATGCCTATAACTAAATTACACCAACACTGTTCGCAAACATGTTGTTAATACAGGCTGGTCTTAAAAAGTTAAAATCAGTTTTGTCTGCAGTAAATACGAAGGTACTTATACTTAGCCAGTCCAATCTTACCAACCTAAACTAGCAAAATTGACCAAAAAATTAACTGCCACTGATTCATGTAAGCTTAGAAAATTTTCTCCTGGTAATATAGTTTAGTAGTTAAAACAAATGAAATTTAGATTTACACAATTATATAACTGCTTTCAAGTGCTTTGCCCTTTCTTTTTTAAGAATTTTCTTTCAGCATTTTATATTAAATGATGTTTTTTTTTAAGGTGTAAATTATTATAACTAACATTTTGATACTAATGTTATTTCTTCCCCCAGACTCTACCCCATTTAAGGTTTAATTTACTAAGATTATAATAATGGAGTTTTACATGTCCTAACGTGAATGTAACTCATGAGCAATTTAATGTAACCTCAATTTACGTAGTTATGTGTCTCCAAATATTTTGATAAAACATCAGTTCTTTATTGTATAACATATTTTTTGGGTATAGTTACCCAATACGCATACTATTAGTCAGAAACAGAAAATATTTATTTCTAAGAAGTTTTTTCTTTATATTGCACTATTATAGCTGTTTTTGCTGATATTTAGATGTTTTAAGTGTTCAAGTTAATTGTTAATTTTTAAATATATATCATAAAATCTCAAATATAAAATATTTACTGTATATATGTTGAAGACATTGTAAATAAAGAAATAATACAAAAACTTCCATTGTAGATTTGATATTTTATTCATAGTAATAAACATTATATTCTCTTAAAAAAAATGTTAATTTTCCAAAGTATTATATTGGAAGTTAATATATTTACAACAGCAGATCATATTCTTAACTTGTTTTTTACTATTTGTAACAGTTTTGCAAACACTCATCACAGTAATATAGTACATTATTCAACAGTTCAATAATACACTCTTACAGTTTTGTCATTCATACTTATTTTAATATTGCCCTCAATACATGCACACACTTATATCTGGAACCTTACATCAATAAATTCATTTTGAAAAACATAGCCTCATAAAATATGGTAAATATTTTCTATTAAAAAAAATTGTAATGTTTAAAATTGTAAGTGCTTCATAACTGAATGTGTTGATATGATTAAAGAATGTATAGAGAAAAAGCAATGGATTTCATAGTAAAATAAAATGTTGAAAGTATAATGTAAATTATTGGTCCACATGAAAGTTCATTAAAGAAAAGAAAACAAAACTAGTTAAACAAAATAGACTGTAGTTGTCACAACTGCAATTTTTTATACTTACAATTCCTTACTTCATTTTGAAAGTACACAAAGCTCTTTTAAATATCTCTTTAACTTTAAGATAAAAAAAATGGTTAAAATATTCAGCATTAGAATCAGAGTTTCTTCCAGGCATCTCTTCGGGGGGGTCAAAGCCCCCCCCCTGAAAAATTTTTACCGCCCCCCGAACGAAATGAAATTTATATAATTTATATAGAAAATATAGACTTTTAACAGTGTCCGCCCCCCCCCCCCTAAGAAAGTCTACCGCTCCCCCCGAAAATTTCAAGTGCCCCCCCCCCCCCCCCCGGAGAAAAAAGTCTGGAAGAAACACTGATTAGAATATACATATATATTTGTATATTAAATATATACTTAACTACTGTAGTATTTCCCTTTTGTGTTCATAACTACTATAGGCCTACCTCTATAGACTACTTTTCCAATTAAAATCAGTCTGAAACTATACACAATTCATCTCCGTATTTACAAGGTAATTTTAGTGCTAAAAATAAATTGATTTAATGCCAGGTGAGAGAGACACAATAAATTAACAAAATCACAACATGTAGCTTGGAGAAACATCCCGGGCAGCAGTTTAAAATTTCTGTGGTCTCTGGGTTGTACATGACTTGACCCTCTGGGGAAAAAATAATTTATTTTACTATACCAATTTATAATTTGTGACAAAAAACTTGTTTTCGGTTTAAAATTACTAAGTTTAATAATTTTTATGACACTGATGAACATACAGTTAAAACAAGAATAAAATGTGTAGATCTATTCAAAGGAAATTGAATAGTGATAAAGGGATAAGCTAAATTAAAAAACTGAATTAGTGAAGTTTGTAAAATAAATACTATCAATATTACAATTTAATGCAGGAATTTTTTTCAAAATTCAGTTTTAACAGAAAAAATAATCTTCAAAATTAGCTATAAGATTGACAATTATGTAGCTAATCAACCAAATGTATCATATATTATTAAGGGCTCATATAACTATGCCGATGTCAGTTTTTACTTACAAGTAATATTTTTTAAAAGTTTAAATCAGCTAAATTTTCTCAAAGGGCTCACTTAAGCAAGCTTTTGTCAATAATGTATATTTCGTATAAGTATTCTGCACAGTGAGCCTTTCATATAAAGTATAACTTTTCAAAATACAAAAACTTACCCAGAGTAAAATAAACTGTTGGACTATTTTTACCATCACCACCTCGGCTGAATCCCATTACTCGTAGAGCGTAGACTGTGTTGGGTCCGATGCCGTGTACTACACCGAATGTCTGTCTGTTTGGTATGATTGTTTCATTTGCTGTGCGTATATTCTCTGTGGCTGACCACCATTTTATCTGAAATCAAACAAAAATTATCTTTAATGGTAGGAACAAAAGCAGGCTAAAGTCTGAATCAGGCCATTTTGCAGATACCATGTTGAGGCGTAATACTAAGTTGTTCTGGAGAAAATCCCCTTTAGTTGAAAAAGAAAAGGTATGAAACAATGGTGCAATAATAATAATAGTTGTATAAAATGTTCTTATTACTATAGGATTTTGAAAATAGTATGAAAACATTGATTTATTAAGTAGTCTCTCAGCTAAAGGGAAGTAATTTTAGAAAGGAAACTACTCTAAATATTTTATGTAAAATTAAGTTTGATTTTTACTTCAGATTCTAAGTTGTAGCCTGCTAAATAAATATTCCAACCCTCCTTTTGCTAACCATAATAATAAAAAGGAGAAAGTGTCTGAAGCTACTGTTTACTTCAACTGGAATATCTTTTTAAAAATATTTTGGTTTCAACTTCTTAAAAAAACTATAAATTTCTTTTTAAAGATAAGAGCTGAGATTGTCTTCTTACGCTTCAACGGAAACCACACCCACCCCCTTTGCATTTTGACTCCAATGGACATTTTTTTAAAATTGTACTTTCCGAATCTGTGGTAGGCTACTGTTTTTTTTAGTCCAAGTCTGCCTTCTATAGGCCTACAATGTTGAATTGTTATCATGTGCCTACAACTGCTTATTTTCATCGCTTACTTTGTTGACCCTATCACTGCCTGAATTTGTAGTCCCCATTACTTAACTCTACCAATGTGCTATATCCCCAATAACACCCTTACGTTAAATCACAAATGACCCCCTTCCTTTACTCTACCATTGTGCTATATCCCCAATAACACCCTTACGTTAAATCACAAATGACCCCCTTCCTTTACTCTACCATTGTGCTATATCCCCAATAACACCCTTACGTTAAATCACAAATGACCCCCTTACCTTAAGCCCCAATGACCTCTTTACCTTATACCTACCAATGAACCCCTTACATTATGCCCCCAATGACCCCCTTACCTTATGCCCCCAATGACCCCCTTACCTTAAGCTCCAATGACCCCCTTACCTTATGCCCCCAATGACCCCCTTACCTTATGCCCCCCAATGACCTCCTTACCTTATATCCCCTCGGCACTTCCTCATTGCTTCCTGTCATGATCCCCCTCCAGATGACCCCCTTAATCACCAATGACCCCCCTTTATGGCCCCAATGCCCTCTTACCTTAAGCTCCAATTACCCCTTACCTTAAGCCCCAAATGACCCCTTACCTTATACCCTCCAATGACCCTCTTACCTTAAGCCCCAAATGACCCCCTTACCTTATACCCCCCACCCCCAATGAACCCCTTACCTTATACCCCCAATGACCCCCTTACTATATGCCCCCAATGACCCCCTTACCTTATACCCCCCACCCCCAATGAACCCCTTACCTTATACCCCCAATGACCCCCTTACTATATGCCCCCAATGACCCCCTTACCTTATACCCCCCACCCCCAATGAACCCCTTACCTTATACCCCCAATGACTCCCTTACCTTATGCCCCCAATGACTCCCTTACCTTATGCCCCCAATGCCCCCCTTACTTTATGCCCCAAATGACCCCCTTACTTTATGCCCCAAATGACCCCCTTAATCCCCAATGACCCTCTTACCTTATACACCCTAATGACCCCCTTACCTTATACCCTCCAATGACCCCCTTACCTTATATCCCCTCAGCACTTCCTCATTGCTTCCAGTCGTGATCCCCCTCCACATGACCCCCTTAACCCCCAATGACCCCCTTACCTTATATCCCCTCAGCACTTCCTCATTGCTTCCAGTCGTGATCCCCCTCCACATGACCCCCTTAACCCCCAATGACCCCCTTACCTTATATCCCCTCAGCACTTCCTCGTTGCTTCCAGTCGTGATCCCCCTCCAGATGACCCCCTTAATCCTTAATAACCACCTTAATCCCCAATGACCCCTTACCTCATACCCCCAATGACCCCCTTACCTTATATCCCCTCAGCACTTCTTCATTGCTTCCTGTCCTGAACCCCTCCAGATGACCCCCCTAATCCCCAATGACCCCCTTACCTTATACCCCCAAATGACCCCCTTACCTTATATCCCCTCAGCACTTCCTCGTTGCTTCCAGTCGTGATCCCCCTCCACATGACCCCCTTAATCCCCAATGACCCCCTTACCTTATACCCCCCAATGACCCCTTACCTTATATCCCCTCAGCACTTCCTCGTTACTTCCTGTCGTGATCCCCCTCCACATGACCCCCTTACCTTAATCCCCAATGACCCCCTTACCTTATATCCCCTCAGCACTTCCTTGTTACTTCCTGTCGTGATCCCCCTCCACATGACCCCCTTAATCCCCAATGACCCCCTTACCTTATATCCCCTCAGCACTTCCTCGTTACTTCCTGTCGTGATCCCCCTCCACATGACCCCCTTAATCCCCAATGCCCCCCCCCCCTTACCTTATGCCCCCAATGACCCCTTTACCTTATATCCCCTCAGCACTTCCTCGTTACTTCCTGTCGTGATCCCCCTCCACATGACCCCCTTACCTTAATCCCCAATGACCCCCTTACCTTATATCCCCTCAGCACTTCCTTGTTACTTCCTGTCGTGATCCCCCTCCACATGACCCCCTTAATCCCCAATGACCCCCTTACCTTATATCCCCCAATGACCCCCTTACCTTAAACCCCCCCCAATGCCCCCTTACCTTATATCCCCTCAGCACTTCCTCATTACTTCCTGTCGTGATCCCCCTCCACATGACCCCCTTAATCCCCAATGACCCCCTTACCTTATATCCCCTCAGCACTTCCTCATTGCTTCCTGTCGTGATCCCCCTCCACATGACCCCCTTAACCCCCAATGACCCCCTTACCTTATATCCCCTCAGCACTTCCTCATTACTTCCAGTCGTGATCCCCCTCCACATGACCCTCACAGATCTGCTGTCGTATGACGCCACATGCACGTACTCGGGGTAGTTGAGGGGAGCTAGGGGGAGTAGGCAGGGATTGGAGTCATTCTCAGAACTAATTGTCAGTGTGAATAGTCATTATCAGTGTCAATAGTCATTGTCAGTGTCAATAGTCATTGCCAGTGTCAATAGTCATTGTAAGTGCCAATAGTCACTGTCAGGATTTGCTGTTTTAGTCACTTTCAGGATTTGCTGCTTTAGTCACTTTCAGGATTTCCTTGCTGTTCAGTCATGGAGTGTCAGGATTTGCTGTTTTAGTCAATGGTATGATTTGCTGTTTTAGTCACTGATAAATGTTGGTATTATATGACAAAAACATTTAAATAGTTACAAAAAAAATACAGGTAAAGTAATGATATACTGACACTAACATACAAATAATAATTCTGACAATAAAAAAACAATGGACAAACGATCCTGACAAAAACGTAATGACAATGGGAACAGTGGTATATAATACCTACAGAGTTGTCATTAAAATTAGTGATACAGGCATTGACAAACAAATTGGAAATAGTAAACAAATGACATTACGCTGAAAGTAAACTAATGACATGACACTGAAAGTACACAAATGACATGACACTGAAAGTAAACAAATGACATGACACTGAAAGTACACAAATGTAATGACACTGAAAGTAAACTAATGACATGACACTGAAAGTAAACAAATGACATGACACTGAAAGTACACAAATGACATGACACTGAAAGTACACAAATGACATGACAGTGACGGCAGAACATTGACATAACACTGAGTGTTAACTAATGACACGTTAGTGACATCCACTTAACGACGTAACACTGACCACTGTGATAGGTGTACTGATAGTAATCTTCACTGGGCGCTCCCATGCCCGCCATGGTGTACAGCTGAAGGTTGACCCAGTAATGACCCCGTGGCTCCAGCCCCACCAGCAGGGCGTACCCACAGTCCTCGACACAGTAGGCGTTGGACGAGTCCATTCCCTCCCCCTCCAGCCAGTAATTAATCTGTTCGTTCAAATAATTTAGTTGGAATTACAATATGGTGCTCAGTGTTTTTTCAAGACTTTTTTTTTCTCACAGGGGGGGGGGGGGCACTTGATATTTTCGGGGAGGGGGGCGGACACTAGTAAAAATATATGTTTAATTTATAAACTCCATCTCGTTCTGGGGGGGGGGGGGGGGGGGGGGGTGGTACACTTTCTTCGATGCCTGGAAGAAACTTTGACCGTGCTAGACGTGGATTATGAAACAGGCAATATTAAAGGGAAGTAATTTGACTTTGTGCCTGATAAGTAAGCGTAAAAACACACAACCATGTACATTGACGGGACGACGTGGTCGAATAGTAGAGCTTACGAATGTTCACCCGAAAGTGTCGAGTTCAGATCGTGGGCTCGAGTCTGTAGGACGCCCTAGAGTACCCCCCCCCCCATGTCTGATAAGTACCTAACTCACCTTAGAAAAACTAAGACGGCTAGACATGGTATTGACCACGTTATACCCTATAGGCCGAAGTTTCAATGAAACTGATGAACTGGATTGATACAATGTTGGGCATTAGAAGTGAGGGTGGCGATCCGCCCCTGGGTGTATTAGCCATGTACTCAGGTTAAGGGGATATAAAAATACTCTTGTATCAACGGCTAATTATAATATCAAGAGTTAAACGAAATATTTTAACACATACGATTAGATTGGATATATTTTTAATTTGTCTGTGTGGAGTTATGGGCCTATTTCAGTAAAGAAAAAAAAAAGGGGGGGGGGGGGGTAAAGTAGAGTACACCTGTTTCTGTGACCTTGGCATATGAAGAGATCCCAATCCGCCGGTACTCCCCCTAACGAACGTCAGGTACCCATCAGAGCTAAGTTTTACTCCTTCGAAACTCCTTCGAACTCTAGTCCGGGATCCGAATTCGCGACTTTCGGGTTAGCAATCGTACGCTCAACCATACGACAGCACCGTCCTATAGGCCTACTGCGTAACACAATTTACCCGTGGGATTACATGACACATGTGTGCCCACAAAATGGTCACCTATACCCACAAACGGGAAAGTATTCACAAAGTGAACATACACAATCGAAATGCTTGTAGTGCGCATTAAAAAAAAAAAACATGTCACAACGAAATGCCAGACCGACCAGGACTTGTTAAATTCAACCCCAGACATGCGACCCGTCATACAAGTCAACTGGGCCCTGCCAGTCACGTGGACGTTTCACGCATGACTGATTATACGACCTGTGCCCGGTATGTAGTGTTCGTGTTGCTGCACATTTGCCGTGTAGGTAAGGGGAGATAACATCTACGTAAATATTGTCACTGTTGATATTTGTGTACTTTAGAAGGATATTATAAATGATGTTTTAATTCGAGGAGCTGTTCTTATTTACTTGAATATGTGTGTTAAACAGGACGAGGATTTTCGTAAGTAACAGATACGTGTTTATTTTTAATCGTATCAATTAATGTTGTTTCTTTTTATACGCATTACATTATATATATATATATATATATATATATATATATATATATATATATATATATATTAGAATTTTAAATAAATAATATATTTATGTTATACATACTTATACATACACACACACACATACATATAGGCCTACACACACACACACACACACACATATATATATATATATATATATATATATATATATATATAATATACAAATATATAGGTCCATGTATATGTATATATTTTTATAACATGTATGTATGTATATATATTTGTGTGTAAAAGTATGTACAAAATATATTTTCTATGTGCAATTACGTATAAGTATATGTATATATATATATATATATATATATATATATATATATATATATATATATATATATATATATATATATATATATATATATATATATATATATATAATAGATAATAAGTTAACTAACTAAAAATATAACTCTCTAGGTCACAGATAGTGAAGGAATTGTTTAACATATATAAATGAGCTTGTGCTTCGACCTCTAAGCTCAAATTTTTGCGTCAGCATCTGACGTGAAACATGATTTATTGTCTTGTGTATGGTAAGTTTCTCCCTGATTTTCCTTTTACCTATGCATTGTGTGTAGTGGACATTCACATACAATGTTGCATACCGCTGTAAGGTCCGTCATTGTTTTTTTATTTATTTATTTTTTATTTATTTTTTACGTAAATTTCATTGAATCATAGAAGATGAGTAAAAAAAAACGTTATGAGAAAGCTTATTGCATTTCTGTTTAAAAATATTTTTTAATTGTGTAAAATACCATTCAATCACACAAGCGACAGCTAGGTAGTGTGAATTTTAATTAACTTGATCTGTAATACTTGCTATAAGTGATGATGTATGCATGTATGGTTTCAAAGTGCTTAATCAAACGCCAAAAGAGTAGCCCTACCTACGTGTCCCTGTTTAGAAAAGATTTAATTTCTTTGGATCGTTTACGCTTTGCCTACAAGTTACAACATTTGAATGTAGGTAGTATCCGGGTGTTCTAGGATGTCGGCTTTGGCTCAAGTGACCTATATGTATGGGTTTGACCCAACCCAACCACCCCTTTACGCCAACCAGTAAATAAAAAAAACGTTGACTGATTAAATTTTTTTAAGCTTTAGCTACTGGACGGGACTGTGTTTATATTTGTCAATTGTTATTAGGCTGAATGGGGACAAAACTATGTGTCAAAGTGGCCTGCGGTTAAATTTTAAAAAAGTCTTGAGACTCGACTGGAATTATGAATATGATACTTAGTACTGAGGATAAATATTAAACCATTTTAAATAAACTATTTTTTTTAGTTTAAGGAGTCATCGCTTTTTTTTTGACGTTTTTTACCCCCCCCCCCCCTTCCCTCCGTCACACGTCGTCACAAAAAACCAGACCTCCCCCTAAAATGACTTCAAACCTCAGCCTACAACCCCCCCCCCCCCTCAAAATTGCTGTTGAATTTATGTTAAAACATCGATATTTTTCCAAAATCTTGTCAGAACTCTGTCAACATAGAGTATTTTGATCAATTCCTATAATAATTTATTAAAACCGTTTTCTAAAACGCGAAATAACGGCTAAAACTCGTTTCCTAACATTGCTTTTTTTTATAAATCAAAAGAGTGACGACACAACATCTGACCCCCCCCCCCCTCCCCCTCATCACACACCGTCAGAAAATGATGGACCCGCCCCTACGAGTGTGACGTCATTTATGGACGACCCCTTATTAAATATGCCATCAATTTTTTTTTTATTTAAGTCCCATGGGTTTTAAAAACAAAAAAATTGAACAAGATCCCCCGTTTGCGATTTGCAGCCTTACCTCCCCTATAGCATTTACGTCCGTAGCTTAAGAAATTTTCACTTGTTATTTCCCCTTGCCTCAACTCTCACTAGACACTACATCAATGTAGTTACAAGGAATAGTTCTTCTCTTTAAACGTATGACAGCACTTGTGGTAGCCCGAGGACCGTGTTTTACGACTTTGAATTTAATTAAGATTGGGTTTTTATTATAAAGCGGGTAGACAAGTTTGAACAGTTGGCAGGTTAATATCATCTCAGTTCGTGGGTTGGTCCGATAAAATATCAAACTCCTGGGCAAAAACATGAAACGGCCAATAGATAAGGACATCAAAGTCCGTAGATGGGGATGGATTGGACATACCATCAGAGTTTCTTCCAGCATCTCTTCGGGGGGGGGGGGAGCCCAAAACCAGTGTTTTTTCCAGGCATCTCGTCCCCTCCCCTTGAACGAAATGGAATTTTTATATAAAATATATACATTTAACAGTGTACGCCCCCCTCCTGGAAGTTTTAGTCCGCTCCCCCCACACACACACCACATTTTTTAACTTCAAACTGAGCCGCTAATATGGACGAACATTAATTATGCTTGGCAGCTCAATAAAAAATTATAGTATAGATAGAGCCAACATATTCTTACTTGTTTGTATACACATAATTATTTGCAGGTATTTTAACTATGAGAGGTCGGCCATGATGCAGCAGAACGCTGTTAAGTTTTCCACCAACAGAAGTAAAATAAACGACGCCTTGGTTATGGCCGCCCAATCCGGCAACATCCAGCGCGTCACGCAGCTACTGAACGCGGGGGCGAACGTGGACTACTGGCCCAAGGACGACCACAGTGACCCCGCTGGCGTCTGCATGGAGGAACTCATCTTCCAGAGTTACGCCATCTTTGCCGCTTGCACTCAAGGTCACTTCCAGATAGTCCTGACCCTATTCAACAGCAGCAACCGTAAACATTTGTTAACAGAATACTGGCCGGTTCTGCTGCAGACGTTACGAAACAAATGGAGTTTTCAACGGCCGCACAATGTGGTCAACACCTTTGGTCAGTTGGTTATTTTGAACGGTGGTCACTGCGTTCACCACATGTTGTTTATGAAAGACTCCAACATCCGTTTCTTGCGGTACCTCATCAACGCCGGCGCAGACGTGAACGCTAGGTGTCGCTGCGGGATGACCCCATTGGCCAACGCTCTCTCGTCATCTCAGTACAGCTCTGAGGTTCTACAGACACTGCTAAAGGCAGGGGCTGATCCCAACATCCTCAGCCAAGATAACTTATCTCCCCTGGCAATGGCGGCAAAAAATGGGCACATCACGGCTATGGAATCTTTGTTGCTTTGTGGTGAGTTTCAGGTTTAAACATAATAGGGCAGTGGTTCTTAAACTCTTTGGAGGTACCGAACCCCACCAGTTTCATATGCGCATAGACCGAACCCTCATTAATAGTTCTATCGTCCACACTCTCAAAATACAATCGTGAATCACATGAGTCGGGTGTGTGTCTTGATCTCCGCGGAATCATTGAGACTGACTCTCCGAAACCCAGGGGTTCGATCGAACACAGGATAAAAACGACTGTAATATGTTTTTAAACACTTATGGTAGTAAAAAGAGTACAGGGCTAATATGTAATTAAAAATAAATTGTAATGGATATATTAAGCATATCTCAGTATTTATATTGTCCAGCATAAGGTTTGGATTGTTTGTGTTAGATGATTAATTGTAACCTGTTCCAATACTATCTTTGGCCTATCAGCACCACACTCACTGGCCAGATTTTGGGTTAGGATTAGCTTCTATAGTCTAGTCTATAGCAATATCCAAAGCAATGGTTCGTGAGTATTACATACAACGTTAACAGTTAAATGGTTTCTGTCATTTTCCTGAGAGTTATTGTAATCTACACAGAACAGGTTCACGTTTCATCTGCAACCTTCCCAAAGGGGGACAAGCTAGTCTGCAACGTGTAGTTTGTCTACAGGGTGTTCTAAAAGACTTATACAAGGACTAGGCATACTGCCTAGCTTCGCTTAGGTTTTTAAAAAACATTTGAGAATTTGAATACTTAATTATTTAGCGATGGATTGGGTGTGGAGTGCTTAAATAAGTTTAATTTAAACAGTAATGCTAATTTTAGAAAAAAATGTTTTTGTTCGTCATTTATACTCCTTTCTACGGGAATTTTTGGAAAGTACGCAATGTATAACTAAAATGGAATTAGAACTACACAGGTTTCATGAACAGTATATCTCATAGTTTATATTACACTGCCTTTTGAAATTAATTAATTTATTTAATTAGTTTACTTATCTAAATTAACAACTTAATTTTGTACTAAAACAAATGCTATACTTCGTCATTTTCTGTTTCTGTTTAAAATAGTATACAATTATTTGAAAAATAATAATTTTAAAAACGTTACCTCCCTTGAAAACTGAACGTATGACGTATGTCATTGTTTACTTATATTGTTTGCTTATATAAGAAATTACGTTATATGAACATATTTAACGACTATAATGGCTGTTTCCGACGGGAATAAAGTTTTTTTGTTACCCTCCATGGTCGGTCTACGACGTCACATAATATTAATGGGATCGTTCGTCAATTTATTTATATATATATATCTCATATAAGGAGAATTTCACTCAAGATCATCTTTTAGCCCTCGTCGAGGGCTTTGAGTCTGACCAACAGTTTTTCCATTCGGCCTAGTCATCTATAGTAGTGTATGCAAAAACTTAGCATGATGTACAGACATTAAGTAACCTAAAAATTGTGTTAAAATTTCCCTGTTTTTCCCATAAAATACACAGATTATATAGGGAAATACAACTGGTCAGTTTTGACCGCTTTACGAAGTTTTCCCAGATATGCCGAGTTTTTTATAACACCCCTAGGTGTTCTTCTACCACCTCACAAAATATCAAGGGGGGTCGTCGGAGGAAATTTTTTTTCGTAATAGAGCTCATATAAAGAGAATTTCACTCGCGGTCACTTTTTAGCCCTCGTCGAGGGCTTTGAGTGTAACCGACAGCTTTCCCTAAAGGTCAAGCCATTGACCTAAGAGCATGCAAAAAATTAGCCAGATATACTGAGCTTAAGTACCCTAAAGTCTGCGTTAAAATGACCCTCTGTTTTTCCCATAAAATACAAAGATTATATAGGGAAATACAACTGGTCAGTTTTGACCGCTTTACGAAGTTTTCCCAGATATGCCGAGTTTTTTGTGACACCCCTAGGTGTTCTTCTACCACCTCACAAAATATCAAGGGGGGTCGTCGGAGAAAATTTTTTTTCGTAATAGAGCTCATATAAAGAGAATTTCACTCGCGGTCATTTTTTAGCCCTCGTCGAGGGCTTTGAGTGTAACCGACAGTTTTCCCTAAAGGTCAAGCCATTGACCTAGGAGCATGCAAAAAATTAGCCAGATATACTGAGCTTAAGTATCCTAAAGTCTGCGTTGAAATGACCCTCTGTTTTTCCCATAAAATACAAAGATTATATAGGGAAATACAACTGGTCAGTTTTGACCCCTTTACGAAGTTTTCCCAGATATGCCGAGTTTTTTGTGACACCCCAAGGTGTTCTCCTACCACCTCACAAAATTTCAAGGGGGGTCGTCGGAGGAATTTTTTTTTCGTAATAGAGCTCATATAAAGAGAATTTCACTCGCGGTCACTTTTTAGCCCTCGTCGAGGGCTTTGAGTGTAACCGACAGTTTTCCCTAAAGGTCAAACCATTTACCTATAAGCATGCCAAAACTGAGCCAGATGTAAAGAGGGTAAGTGCCATAAAATCCGTTTTTAAATGACCCTCTGTTTTCCCCATTAAATACAAAGATTATATAGGGAAATACGACTGGTCAGTTTTGACCCATTTCCCGATTTTTCCCGGACATGGCGAGTTTTTTGTGACACCCCAAGGCGTTCTCCTACCACCTCACAAAATATCAAGGGGGGTCGTCGGAGGAAATTTTTTTTCGTAATAGAGCTCATATAAAGAGAATTTCACTCGCGGTCACTTTTTAGCCCTCGTCGAGGGCTTTGAGTGTAACCGACAGATTTCCCTAAAGGTCAAGCCATTTACCCATAAGCATGCCAAAACTGAGCCAGATGTAAAGAGCGTAAGTGCCATAAAATCCGTTTTGAAATGACCCTCTGTTTTCCCCATAAAATACAAAGATTATATAGGGAAATACGACTGGTCAGTTTTGACCCATTTCCCGATTTTTCCCGGACATGGCGAGTTTTTTGTGACACCCCAGGTGTTCTTCTACCACCTCACAAAATATCAAGGGGGGTCGTCGGAGGAATTTTTTTTTCGTAATAGATCTCATATAAAGAGAATTTCACTCGCGGTCACTTTTTAGCCCTCGTCGAGGGCTTTGAGTGTAACCGACAGTTTTCCCTAAAGGTCAAGCCATTGACCTAGGAGCATGCAAAAAATTAGCCAGATATACTGAGCTTAAGTATCCTAAAGTCTGCGTTGAAATGACCCTCTGTTTTTCCCATAAAATACAAAGATTATATAGGGAAATACAACTGGTCAGTTTTGACCCCTTTACGAAGTTTTCCCAGATATGCCGAGTTTTTTGTGACACCCCAAGGTGTTCTCCTACCACCTCACAAAATTTCAAGGGGGGTCGTCGGAGGAATTTTTTTTTCGTAATAGAGCTCATATAAAGAGAATTTCACTCGCGGTCACTTTTTAGCCCTCGTCGAGGGCTTTGAGTGTAACCGACAGTTTTCCCTAAAGGTCAAACCATTTACCTATAAGCATGCCAAAACTGAGCCAGATGTAAAGAGGGTAAGTGCCATAAAATCCGTTTTTAAATGACCCTCTGTTTTCCCCATTAAATACAAAGATTATATAGGGAAATACGACTGGTCAGTTTTGACCCATTTCCCGATTTTTCCCGGACATGGCGAGTTTTTTGTGACACCCCAAGGCGTTCTCCTACCACCTCACAAAATATCAAGGGGGGTCGTCGGAGGAATTTTTTTTTCGTAATAGAGCTCATATAAAGAGAATTTCACTCGCGGTCACTTTTTAGCCCTCGTCGAGGGCTTTGAGTGTAACCGACAGATTTCCCTAAAGGTCAAGCCATTTACCCATAAGCATGCCAAAACTGAGCCAGATGTAAAGAGCGTAAGTGCCATAAAATCCGTTTTGAAATGACCCTCTGTTTTCCCCATAAAATACAAAGATTATATAGGGAAATACGACTGGTCAGTTTTGACCCATTTCCCGATTTTTCCCGGACATGGCGAGTTTTTTGTGACACCCCAAGGTGTTCTTCTACCACCTCACAAAATATCAAGGGGGGTCGTCGGAGGAATTTTTTTTTCGTAATAGATCTCATATAAAGAGAATTTCACTCGCGGTCACTTTTTAGCCCTCGTCGAGGGCTTTGAGTGTAACCGACAGTTTTCCCTAAAGGTCAAGCCATTGACCTAGGAGCATGCAAAAAATTAGCCAGATATACTGAGCTTAAGTATCCTAAAGTCTGCGTTGAAATGACCCTCTGTTTTTCCCATAAAATACAAAGATTATATAGGGAAATACAACTGGTCAGTTTTGACCCCTTTACGAAGTTTTCCCAGATATGCCGAGTTTTTTGTGACACCCCAAGGTGTTCTCCTACCACCTCACAAAATTTCAAGGGGGGTCGTCGGAGGAATTTTTTTTTCGTAATAGAGCTCATATAAAGAGAATTTCACTCGCGGTCACTTTTTAGCCCTCGTCGAGGGCTTTGAGTGTAACCGACAGTTTTCCCTAAAGGTCAAGCCATTGACCTAGGAGCATGCAAAAAATTAGCCAGATATACTGAGCTTAAGTACCCTAAAGTCTGCGTTGAAATGACCCTCTGTTTTTCCCATAAAATACAAAGATTATATAGGGAAATACAACTGGTCAGTTTTGACCCCTTTACGAAGTTTTCCCAGATATGCCGAGTTTTTTGTGACACCCCAATGTGTTCTCCTACCACCTCACAAAATTTCAAGGGGGGTCGTCGGAGGAATTTTTTTTTCGTAATAGAGCTCATATAAAGAGAATTTCACTCGCGGTCACTTTTTAGCCCTCGTCGAGGGCTTTGAGTGTAACCGACAGTTTTCCCTAAAGGTCAAGCCATTGACCTAGGAGCATGCAAAAAATTAGCCAGATATACTGAGCTTAAGTACCCTAAAGTCTGCGTTGAAATGACCCTCTGTTTTTCCCATAAAATACAAAGATTATATAGGGAAATACAACTGGTCAGTTTTGACCCCTTTACGAAGTTTTCCCAGATATGCCGAGTTTTTTGTGACACCCCAAGGTGTTCTCCTACCACCTCACAAAATTTCAAGGGGGGTCGTCGGAGGAATTTTTTTTTCGTAATATAGCCCATATAAGGCGCCGGTCAGTCGAGGTCAGTTTTGACCCCCGCTCCGTAGACTTTTTGCCGAACCGTCACCGGCCCTCGTGTTCTATGGCCATAAGGCACCTTCGTGCCAAATTTGACGCGCCTGCGGCGCCGGGAAGTGCCCTATCGGGCACCCGACCACTTTGCTTTATATATATAGATATATGCATTTTGCAAAAGCACTGCATTGCAGTTCAAAACTACAGTCAGAGTTTCTTCCAGGCTGAGCCCCCCCCCCCCGAACGAAATGGAATTTATATAGAAAATATATACTTTTAAACAGTGTCCGACCCCCCCCCCCCATCCCCCGAAAATTTCAAGTGCCACCCCCCCCCCTCGAAAAAAAAAGTCTAGAAGAAACACTGACTACAGTGCGACCTTGCAGCTTAGAGGGAACATTGTTCATAAGTGTCCTATACCAAAACAGAATTGACTGTTTTGAAATGGAAAGATACGTTTTAGCCAGCAATAACTAATTTCAAAACATCAGAATTGGAGTCGTTTAATTATTTTTAAGGTAGTGTTAAGGGGTTCATAATAGTTCTCCACCAAATTTAGAAGAATTGTTAGCGTTCATCAAACACTTTATCTAAACCGGTGGTTCTTAACCTGTGTTCAATTGAACCCCCAGGGGTTCGGTGTAGTGTTTCTTCCAGACTTTTTTTTCTTCGGGGGGGGGGGGGGCACTGTTAAAAGTATATATTCTCTATATTAATTCCATTCCGTTCGGGGGGGGGGGTAGATTTCTTCGGCTTGGGGGGGGGGGGAGAAGCCTGGAAGATATGCCTGGAAGAAACCCCCAGTGAGTTAGTCTCAGGGGTTCGGCGGAGGTCAAGACAAACACCTGACTTGTATGACTCACTATCGGAATTTGTCTGTGCGGATGATACAACTGTTAGTAATTCGGTATATGAAACTGGTGGGGTTTGGTACTACCAAAAAGGCAAAGAACCACTGACCTAAAAAGTTATCTCTTTCCCCAGGTTCAGCACAAAGTCTACACTATGAAAGTCCAGCCAACATACAAATCTATCACCCTCTAGTGTTCTCTGTGATCAGAGGTGATATGACGCAAGTACAACTCCTCCTGAACTACAACCCACAGCCCATAACCATGTTGCAGTACCTAGTCCACGCCCACCACAACTTCCCGTTTGACATCGAAGATTTAACATTTTTCAACAAGTACATCTCCCTGCTGTACCTCGCTCTGTATCTAAATAAATCTGATGTAGCTCAATTATTTATAAAACTCAACTTTCTTTCCAAATCTGATATCAGCGAGCTGCCTAAGGATTTTTATCTACACAAGAAGTTGCAGTACAGCCGGGAGCAGGAGGAATGTGCCAGCTTATTTGAGTCTATTCGCACGGAACCTTGGTCTTTGTTTACACTAAGCTTTGTGGCTGTTTCTGAGGCTGTTGGGTTTGGGCCATCAAGGCCGGAGAAATTACAAAAACTTGGACTTCCAAATAAATTAGTAAACCAATTTTTATTTTTACCATCATGAAAACTGTCTCAATTAGAACAACTTTTTTTTTAAATTAAAATTTTTTGTTTTGTTGTGATATCCTAATAATGAATCTATATAGATCTATAATAATTATAATTCTCTTCTTGGATACACTAGAAAACACCAAGCTGTAAGCTCACCAAGCTGTAAGCCCCCTCTCTTCCTCTCTAAGCATATCCCTACCACCCCACCCCCCACATAGTCTGGTGAGCTGTGGTTCACACTAAATGTTCGTAGAGTGGGGTTTAGTGACGGCTATTATTAGGGGCAGATCATTTTGTTTGAAACGACTTTAAACTTAGGGGAGGTAACTAAGAGGAGGCTGCTTTCACGGGGGGGGGGGGGGGGTAGGGTAGGGGTTGGGGGGAAAGGAGGGTAGGGGGGGGGGGTTAATCGTCCTTAACGGCCTACTGATAGTGTTTTAAAGCAAATATTTTCAGTGGCAGCATTGGTACTGTCGAATTCACAAAGTATGAATTACTGAAAAGTAGAAAATAAAACAACTAAATAGCGGCATGTGATATGCCGCGGGTCGGCTCGTTAAAATATATTCTTGAAGACAGATTTTGTATATCAATGATCTTTCTGTGATATGTGATGAGATATAATTCACCTAAGCTATACAAAAATATTAAATTATTAACCAATAAAACAAGCTTCATAATAATGCAATATCTACTATGATTTTAAAATAGTTTTTAAATTTTTTTCTAAGAATTGTTTGTTTATAACATTGTGTATTGTGTTGCTGTTTACATTTTTTAGCATCCCTGATTTTTTTTTTATGTGTTTAGGTTTTCAACACTGAGAATATCTTAATAAATTGATTACTGACCAACTAAAAAGGGTCAGTTTAGTGCTAAAATGTCAATGCAATTAATGCTGGCTTTTTGTAAAGTTTTAAAATGTGTTTGCTCGCTAGTAGTAAATTTATCATACAAAAATATAAATTCCATTAACATTAGAGTTCAACAACTCAATTTTAAATTTAAAATCCATATTTTTCTGAAATGAAAAAAAAAATTTAAACTTTTGCTTAAAGTAGGTTTTTAACCAATGTAAAAATGACGTAAAACCGGAAAAGTGACTTACCCCATATCCCACCATCTTTCCTCTAATGGCTTCACGGACCAGAGGCACAGGAGTCCAGAAAACTTTCAAGGCTGTGCTGTTGTAGGGTTTTACAAAGACTTTGGTGGCTGCAGCCAGTGGCACTGGAAGGGTTAAAGCATTGATGTTAGAGAAACCTAATGCTGTACTGATGTAGGGTTAAAGCACTGATGTTAGGGAAACCTAATGCTGTGCTGATGTAGGGTTTTACAAAGACATGGGTGGCTGCAGTCAGTGGCACTAGGAGGGTTAAAGTACTGATGTTAAACCTAATGCTGTGCTGATGTAGGGTTAAAGCACTGATGTTAGAGAAACCTAATGCTGTACTGTTGTAGGGTTTTACAAAGACTTTGGTGGCTGCAGCCAGTGGCACTATGAGGGTTAAAGCACTGATGTTAGAGAAACCTAATGCTGTGCTGATGTAGGGTTTTACATAGACAATATAATATCTAAACAGAATATCACTAAATAAGCAAAGATGTTAAAACAAATGTAAAAATAATCTAGGCCTAACACTTGTTCACTTTTTTTATTGTAGTTTCCCTCATCCCATATATAAAAACTCTGCTATAAAAAATTTGAAAAAATAATTGAATAAATTGGTAGATTGAAGAGTATAATAAGTAAATTTTGTGAGATTTAAAAATTATTGCATAGTTTAGAATGATAGGTTTGTATTTTGCTTATGGGTAGCTAACTTAACTAAGGAATGTCAAGATAACTGGGCCTTATCAAAGGCTACAAAATAAATTAATTTGCTATAGTAGCAGAAAATAAACTCTTCTATCTGCCCTTTATATCTCAAAATGTATTTCACATCTTTTAAAAAAAAACTATAATTGAATAATATTAAACCTTAACAAAATGCTAAAAAAAAAAATACAAAATGTTCAAAAAGCATAACAATACAAAACATTATTTTAAAAGACAACAAAACAATGCAAATGATTTTTAAAAAATGAAACTGCTCACCATCTCCCTGGGACATAATGATTTCCACTGATGAATTTGGACCTGGCCCATGATCGTTGAAAGCACAAATTTTGATTTCATATTCTAAATAATAATTTTCTATTCCTACCAAAGCTGAGAATTGGTTAAAATGGCCTGAAACTTCACCCTAAAAGAAAGATAAAAATAAAAGCTTTAACCACATAAATGCTGAGAGCATCAAGTTTTAAAATGTTCTTTTGTATTAAAACATATATACATTTTAATTTTTCTATATCAGTTTTAGAGTTTTTAGTTTTGTCTCATTATGTACCGATATTTTTAGCAGCTTAAAATCAAAATGCAAATATTTTTCCTTTTAAACTAATGTTACACACAATGAAAGAATCAATTAATGAGTTATATTTTTAGTTTAAATCTTAGCAAAAGCAGCATGAAATTAATATAATATTAGTATTAAAAAACATTAGCTTTCACCTACCTGGCTCCATTTTGTATCATTGCTATAACTTTTTTTCCTGTAATAAATTCTGTATCCTACATTATCCCCTGTAAGATCTTCCGAGTTCAGTAGCTGATACAGAAAATAGATCATGTTATATAATTTATTTTCAATATTATTTTTAAAATGTATATCATTTGAACATTGTTTTTATAAAAGCAGTCCAAAGTTTTGGGAAAACACTGTATTTAAAAAAACACAACATAATTTCACATTTCAACAGTGATGTTTTTATTACGTTAACATTTTATAAAAAGTTTAACTTAATAAAAACTTATATTTTGTCCTGTTTGATTACAGGTATCTTGTACAGTCAGATCTAAATAGTGCAAGCTTCACTATGTTCACATTTAAAACTGAGTACATTGTAAAGTAATTGCCTAAAAGTTAGGTAGCATGAACAAGAAACATTATGTGTACTGAAACACACAGTAGAAATGATGAAAAACTGGCTTCATACAACGTAGAGGTTGAATAACTATTTACATAAAGCAAACTGGAGGATTAACTACTTACATAAAGTAAAGATGATAAATAACTTATACTATTAAGTTAATTACTGACATAAAGAGAGGATGTTAATAAAGTACATGAAATAAAGAGAATGATTAACTACTTTCATAAGTAAACAGGATAATAATGACTAAAAGAAAATATACACAATGTTAACTACTTACATCCCATTCTACGACCAAGGTTCCAACAGGCCCAAAGTTTTCCCTGATAGCAGTCACTGTTGTAACTGGTGCAGCATCTTGAATCTTATAAAAACCTGGAAAATTGAATTAGACTTTTTTTTTACAAGTGATGTATTGTTGAGAATTGTATATAAAGATAAGCATGATTTGGAATTCAAATTTTTAAACTGTTCTAAGCTAGTAACTTTCAAAGTGATTTTTCACTTTTTAAAATTAATCTTAAGTTCAGTGAATCAAATATTGTGGTTTCACCTGCCTACATGAACTGCTGGGTCTGATAATGCACATATTTTTGTTTTATTTGTATTAGGATAAGTCTGACTTAATAGCTTATTAAAAGCAAGACTAGTATTATTTCAAATAAGTTCAAAAGTAATAAATGTAACACTAAATTTAAATGTAAATTAATTGCATATATAAAAACACCATTGACATTCAACGTCAGTGGAATTCACATCTAAAAACATTATAATCTAACGTAAGTGAAATTTCACATCTAAAAACATCATTTGAACATCATATGTAAATACAGTTAACATCTAAAGATATACCACATACCCGAAGGTAGAGAAGGTGGACCTGGACCAAACCTATTGTAGGCAACAAGCCTGAACCTGTATGACGACCCAGGTTTTAAACCTGTGACATTGTAGATACACCTGTCATTTCTGATCCTATCTACTGCCTCTACAAATGTGATATCTATAGATAAGAAACTGACAACAATTACCAATTTATAAACAATGGTCTAGTCCAAGTCTATTTTTGGTCTAAGTGGGTTATGATCAGTAACTCTGATTTTGTAATTCTAATGACTTATGTCCTAACAATATTCATGCACCCATCCATCTGAAATGTCTGCATTCATGAAATATGAAAACCAAAAAAAGTTTGAGAGCCCTTTAAAACTTGATAAGACTCACCATTCTTCAACATTCTCCAGGACTTGTTAAAATCTGTGCTGAACTCTATGTCAAACTTGGTGATGTCTGCACTGTTTGTTGGTCCAGGCACCCATTTTATGAGTGCATTATTGCCATTAACAACTGCCACAACTCCTGCACATTCTCCAGGAGGCCCTTATAAAGGGACATAACTATGCATAGTATATATATATATATCTATATATATATATATATATATATATATATATATCTATATCTATATATATCTATATATATATCTATATATCTATATATCTATATATCTATATATCTATATATCTATATCTATATCTATATCTATATCTATATATATATATATATATATATATATATATATATATATATATATATATATATATATATATATATATATATCTATATATATATATCTATATCTATATATATATATATATATATATATATATATATATATATATATATATATATATATATATATATATATATAAATTGTTAGGTAAAAAAATTAATTTAGTTGGTACACATATTTTCTCTTGATATATTAAATAAAAAATTGTTTTTTTATAGCCCAGCTAAGTGTTGAATTTTGTAAATTTTTGTATTAAATTTTTTTTATTTTTTTTTTGGTATAAATTTTGTATTAAATAATCTTGCCCTACCAGCTACTTCTAAATATGCTGTTTTCCTAATGGACTCATCAACTGTTTGTGCTGTGCATCCATACATGCCTGTGTGGTAAGTCTGTACACTGATTATATATAACCCTGTCACTTCACCCTGTTCACCCTGCAAAATTACAAGAATAAAAGTTAATATGTCAAATTTTAATATAGAAATTATTTTAATTTGTGAAAAAAAAAATACTATAATATAAATATGCATGCATACATTTAATCATATATATTTCTATTAATATATTAAAATAATTTTTATTATTAAAATTATATCTATATATATAATTATCTTCTTGGAGACCCTAGACAACATTAAGCTGTAAGCGCGCTTCCTACCGCCCCCACCCCTACATGGTCTGGTGAGCTGTGGTTCACGCTAAATGTTTACAATCGTAAAGCCGGGTTTAGTGACGGCTATTAGGGGCAGATAATTTAGTTTGAAACGATTTTAAACTTAGGGGAGGTAACTAAGAGGGGGCTGCTTTCACGAGGGGGGGGGATAGGGGTTGGGGAAAGGAGGGAGGGTTATTGTCCTTAACGAGCTACTGATAGTGTTTTGAAGCAAATATTTTCAATGGCAGCGTTGGTACTGTTGGAGGTAACTACAAGGAGGCTGCTTTCACGGGGCGTGGAGGGTGGGGTGGGGTAGGGGGAAAGGAGGGTTTTAGTGTTTTAAAGCAAATATTTTCAGTGACAGCATTGGTACTGTCGAATTCACAAATTATAAATTACTGAAAAGTAGAAAATAAAACAACTAAATAGCCGCGGGTCGGCTCGTAGACTTTATTTGAGACTTTTTTTTTTTAATGCTTAATTGAATTTTTATTTTATTTTTTGAATGAAGGTTATAATTTGCAGATACTATGAAGTACAGCATAATAATGATGTCATTTGTATGAATGATTATGAAATGCAAATAATTAGCATATCATTTAATATACTTACCAGTTTAAAATGATGATCTATGTCAAAGTTTATTTCTCTCCCGTTCATATCCCATATGTAAACTAGATCTTTGTTTCGTTTATCATAAGAAGCTTGGCACTCTAAAAAAACTGTTGTGTTTACTGTTGCCAGCGTGTCAGATGGTGCCCTGGTTAACACTGTTTGGGCTAAGTTTAGATGAACAGAATACACATGCAAATGGACTTGTGAAAGTGATGGCTTGGTGGGGGAAAAATATTATAAAGTGCTCTTCTATTTTGAAAAACAGTTTAGTACAAGATATCAAGTCACTTAAGTGACACATCAATAGACAGTAACCATCAATGTTATACACAAAATGTTTTAAGAAACATAATTCAATTTTATTTTAATAATTTTATGGACTTTCATGAATATTTTTTTAAACCTAAATTTGTGAAAAATGTATGTCTGCTGAATTTTTTAGAATTCCAACTAGACACAACAAGACATAATGGGTCACAACAATAACATACTAAGAAACAAGACAAAATAAGACATACTTAAACACAAGAAATATGACAAAACAAGACATAAGACAAAATAAGACATATTTAAACACAAGAAATAAGACAAAACAAGACATAAGATGAAAAGAGACACAAGCCATAAGACACCAAGCATACCAAGACACAAGACAAAATAAAATGCAAAATAAAATATACACACCTAGATATAAAAAGACACAAGACAAAACAAGACACAATACATAACAAAACACAAGAAGACACAACAAAAAACAACAAGACACAACAAAAAACAACAAGACATGGCATGAAAGACCAAGCCACACCAAGACAAACTACTTACACACCACTGTGAGAATCCCTGAGCTTCTAGCTGCCCCCAGGTAGTTGACAGCCATGCATTCATAGATTCCCTTGTCACTGATGTGTAACTCTTTTATCATCAAGTTACCATTATATAGCTGAACCAACCTCTCATTGGCATCTGTTCAGTGTAAAAACAACTAGCTGTATACAACTGATTACACAACTAACAATAAATCATCTCTAACCCTAGAACAAAGTATCAGTAGGAAAAAGTGGCATCAAAAAGATTAAGATTTTGTTATGTAGGTAAGGTACTTTCATACTTAAAAAACTGTAAAACTTAAAGCATTGAACACAACACATTGCTACAAATAACAGCAACAAAATAAGACAGCTGTTATTTTGGGGCGTATGAGTGAGAGATTGATTTTGACCAACACTACCTCAGATAAGTTACTGGTAAGACGTATTATATATATATATATATATATATATATATATATATATATATATATATATATATATATATATATAGATATAGATATATAGATATATATAAATATATATATATAATTTTAGTAAATGTAATGTTTTTTTCTACATTACTAATCTTTTACCAAAGAATGGATTGCAAAATATCGCCCCTACCAAAGCTTATGGGTAAAGCCATTCCATTTTTATACCAGGTGATATTCGGAGCAGGAGCGGCCTCTGGCTGACAAAGCATTGTGATTGTCCCCCCTTCTGTTCCCATTTGAGATGGGTTGACTGGATGTCTGGCAAAGGATGGCTTAAAGGCTGGTGAATTAAAAAACAGTTAACATCTGAGATGAGAGTTACTTCCAGGCATCTCCTCCCCCCACCCCCCTCCCACACCCACCCAAGAGAAAAAAGTCTGAAAGAAAACTGTCTGAGATCTGAGGGATTGTTAGCTAGAATACTAGTCAGATCTATATAAAAATTGGGGAAAAGTGTCAAAATTCCAATGGGATTGAAAAACATTTAAAGATTTAATATGTATTCATAAAATAGTTAGTGTTTAACTTATAAAACATAATTTAAATTCCATGTCTAATGGCAAACAGAAATAGGATCCATGTTTGATCTAATAAAAAATACTAGGTAATGAGTAAGACGATAGTGTGATACATAAATTAGAATAACTTATATACAGGATTTTTCCCAGCACAAAAAATATTTTCCTATAAGTACATAGGCCTACTTTTTACGTACACAATACTCTAATCTGTGCTGTACTCATTGTTGTACCATGTACATTACTAGCACTGCACTGGTACATTCCTTGATGGTGTACAGTATCAGCTCTATCAATCTTCAAAATATTTCCTCGAACCTAAACACAAAATGTAATAAAACAATGACTCAAATAATCACATAAACCTCACTTCATCTACCATCTTGATCTATACATTCTGAAATTATCATTCAAGTTTATAGTTTGTAAATTTAAGGTTATAAGACTTTAAAATAATAAATTATCATACCACTAATGTTAACTAGATTAATCTAATACTCAACATAATGCCTAATTTATTTATTTTACAATCTTATTTATTAATAATTATCGTAAAATATCAAGACTAAAATGCAATATTCTGTGCAGTGAACATTAAAATATTTATTTTAAATTATATTAGTACAGTAATTAGTATTTTATTTCACACATGGATGCCCAAACTGGTTCTGCTTGGTGGCTGATTTGTGGCTAAAATCTGGCCAACTTAGGGAATCATAAATTTATTAAATATTTTTTAAAAGCAGTTTAAAGTAAAAAAAACAACTCACTTGTATGTGGCTACTGGAGCTGTTGATCACCTGACCATCCTTGTACCACGAATAAGTAGGTTTAGGAAGTCCTGCAGCCTCACAGTGCCATGTGAAAGTGCAGTTCATGTCAATGTGATGATGTCTCAATGGTGTTATGAAAAATGGCTTGGCTGTGGAAGAAAAATGGACGTATTTTATTTTATACTACAACTATGGTACTATAGTCTGTGATTCATTATATAAATAGCAAATAAATTAAATGTCAAATGAAATTTTAGATGTCAAATTTAGAAAAACTAATTTTTAAAATACAGTAAAAAGAAAAACAAATTGATTTTAAATCATTTAAATTAATGATCAGCAGCTATCCACACAGATAAATAAATAGCCATATGTCCTTTATCTTATGACTGTTATATTTTTTAAACTGGTTGATTGCAATATAATTTTTTATTTAACCAATTGAAATATTATTTGACTATGTTTTCAGAATTTAATGTTCTTCACAGTTCATCTTAAAAGATATTAATTTTTTCCTGTGTACACACACAGTAAAATAGTTCAGTTTATTACACCTTTGATGGATCTAGGGATAAATTAGTCATCTGTATCTCACCTTCTACAATTAAACTCAAAGACTTCTCAGCCACACCACTGCTTCCCCTCTCTACCCTACAGGTGTAGTTCCCAGCATCTTCTAGTTGGGCATCAGGTAAAGTTACAACACGCCCATGGTCAGATATCACTGCCTTGTTGGGTAATGGGCCATTGTCTTTTTTCCAGGAGTAATACAAAGGTAATCTAATAAACAGCCACAATAATTGCTTGGAAAAGGTCATATTATCAACCTACTAAATTAGTCTTATTTTTAAAAATTGTTTATACAAAATTATATGTACACATATATATATATATATATATATATATATATATATATATATATATATATATATATATATATATATATATATATATATATATATATATATATATGTATATATATATATATATATATATATATGTATATATATATATATATATATATATGTATATATATATATATATATGTATATATATATATATATATATATATATATATATATATATATATTTACACACACACACACATATATATATATATATATATATATATATATATATATATATATAGGCCTATATATATATATATATATATATATATATATATATATATATATATATATATATATATATATATATATATATATATATATATATATATATATATATATATACATACATACATATATATACATATGTAAGTTTATATTAGTATGGACCTATACATTGAAATTTAATACAACAGATGTTTTTTTAATTAAATTTATGTTCTTTAGATTTATTTTTTTAGATTTCAATAATACATTTTGTATAGTCTGTAATTTTTAGAAATAAATGACTAAGGGACATAACTACACAAACATATTTATAAAATGTATTATAGTTATCTACCTTTCACTTACTTTCCATAAGCAAAGCACTCAATTGTCAATGTCTCTCCTCTCAATGTTGGATGAGGGAAAACAGCAGGAAAATCATCATGGATTTCTGGACCATAATCCCTTGGAGCTAAGATATATTTACATTGATAAAAATTAAATGTTTATATAGGAATCTATATATTCATATTATGTATATAATATATACATATTCTAAATATAAAGCCTATATATTAAAATATACATATACATATATTTATTTATTTATATAGTAAAGAGTAAGATGAATGTAATTTTATTTTAATGAGTATTTTGAAATATTCCATACCCACTTTTTAAAGACTGTTAGTCCAGAAAATATTAGGCCTAATTAACATCCAATTTTTTTGTTTGACAAATATTTTTAATGTATTTCATCCCTAATGTAATTAGTTTAGATGAAGTAGATAACACATTTATACAGGCCTGTCTCTAATCAGTTTTCATTGAAAACGTGGGCAAGTGAGTTGAAAACTAACCATGTAAAAAAAATCTAGACAGATATATATAGTCTAAACTTATTTAATTCTAATGATACATTTTGAAACCAATTTCATTTATCAATTATAAAAATTAAAATAAACTAATTGAAATACTTAGACAAAATGTATTGAGACGTGTTTTCTTTGTACCTCTACTTTTTACCTCTACTTTTAGTATCCAGTTAAATGATTACTTTATCATAATATAAATTAACATTTTGGGCTTACAATCTCCAGTAATGGCCAGCTGGATGCCCAAACTGGTTCTGCTTGGTGGCTGATTTGTGGCTAAAATCTGACCAACTTTGGGAATCAGAGTTACCACACAATGATAGTAACCTGTGGAAGAGTACAGTATCTTTTGAACAGGGTAGTAGATCTACACAGTATTGAGATTTTATTATACAAATAAATAAAAATTTATGATAATAAGTATTTTACTTAAGGGACGATATTTCGAGTCCACCCTTTAAATCCCTCACAGAACGTCCCCCCCCCCCCCCCCCGGTCTGGCCTCAACCAACCGGCGGGCTTGTTGCATTGAGTTAAATGTAAACTCAAAACAATGATGTAAAACTATGTAGATCTAGAACTTTTAGATTATAATTCAAATAATTGTTGTATATTATTGTATTTCTATTTCTCTTTACATTATAACAATCAAAATTTTTTTTTTGCTGTCTAGATCTATATTATATTCTATGGAACAAACCAGCATCTTGGTTGGAAGTTTCAGATAAATAAAATTTCCCATTTGTGGAAACGAACTGATGAGGATGAAGATCTGTTCGTAAAAAGTTGGGTCCACCATCTTCCTTGTACCACCGGATGTTAACAGCTATGAAAAACAAACAAAATGGTAGATCTAGTTTTTTTTTACATTAGCAAATTATAATGAAATCTACAATTGCAATACTTAAAAACATGTTAGTCTACTACTTCACGAAGGATTATCAATTAATTCCATCATTAGCCTCTTGAGTTATTTTTTCTTCAACCATTCAAAATTATTATCCCTTATATTATAAATTAGATCTATATGTCTATATGTGTTTAATTGCTACTAGTTTTAAGTTACATACCCAAAAAATCAAACATGGCCTATCTGTAAAAAGTGGAATTGCTATGTGAAAGTTCACCAGATTTCAGTCATTTAACTTTGATCAGTTAATTAATTGTTAATTAATGCAGGAGTTTTTACTTTGATATTTAACTCCTGAGTGGGTACTTGGTACGGTAAACGGAAAAAAAGTCACAGGAAAAAAAAACACAGAAAAAAAGTCACAGTTTTTGCTAGGAAAAAAAGTCACAGAAAAAAAGTCACAGTGCAAAAATTTTATCGGAAAAAAAGTCACAGAAATAAAGTCACAGAAAAAAAGTCACAAAAATCGTTTTAGAAATATTTTGATTTATTTGTTAAGAATTGTAAAATTGTGTATGTTTATTGTTGTGGGTTGTATTTTATGATGGCATAAATTATTTATAGACGTTAAAAGCATTATGGTTTATAACAATTGTAAGTAAAAATACTCTTAGATAATTTACACAACAATCTCAACATTTCTCACGTATTTAGTTAAATACGCGTTAGAAAAGTTAATTATAAAAGAAATTTAGGCACATTTTGCCGTAAGCTATTCTCTGGTCGGCCTCTCCTCAGTAGGCATTGTCCGAACATATTTTGTGTTTTTGACGTCATGCGTCAATGACCGCCTTTGAACCTTGTCGGCTTTCTGTTTTGATCCTATGTTTTGTTATGTAATGAGCGTGATAAATGTGGGCAGTAAAGGTGGTTGAACTAAGCATACCTATTGTTGCCATGAGTTGAAGGCAGCAAGTCAGATGAACTTACCATTTCACGGTAATTTAATATTGGTATTTAAAAAAAAACACGATGAAAACGTGGACTTTGGAGCATTCTATTCAATGATACTGATCTTAAGTTTAACATAATTACAATCTACATACTTCATATTAAGTATTTTTAGATTAATTATAAAAATTCCTATGCGTATACAGCCTACACACATTACATTACACTTAATTAATCCTAAGTTAATTTGCACTCTCTAAATATTTAATACATAAAAGTATTAACAAATATCATGCAAATATATATTTGTGACTTTTTTTCCTGTGACTTTTTTTCCTGTGACTTTTTTTCCTGTGACTTTTTTTCTGTGTTTTTTTTTCCTGTGTTTTTTTTTCCTGTGACTTTTTTTCCTACAATCTACCGAGTTAGCCTATCTGTGTACCAAGTTAACCTACCTACCGTAGACCTACCAAGCTAATCTACCAAATGTACTCAGCCTACCTCGTGTACCAAGTGAGCCTACCTGTGTACCAAGTTAGCCTACCTGTGTACCAAGTTAGCCTACCTGTGTACCAAGTTAGCCTACCTACCGTAGACCTACCAAGCTAATCTACCAAATGTACTCAGCCTACCTGGTGTACCAAGTGAGCCTACCTGTGTACCAAGTTAGCCTACCTGTGTACCAAGTTAGCCTACCTGTGTACCAAGTTAGCCTACCTACCGTAGACCTACCAAGCTAATCTACCAAATGTACTCAGCCTACCTGGTGTACCAAGTGAGCCTACCTGGTGTACCAAGTTAGCCTACCTGGTGTACCAAGTGAGCCTACCTGGTGTACCAAGTTAGCCTACCTGTGTACCAAGTTAGCCTACCTGGTGTACCAAGTTAGCCTACCTGTGTACCAAGTTAGCCTACCTGGTGTACCAAATTAGCCTACCTGTGTACCAAGTTAGCCTACCTGGTGTACCAAGTTAGCCTACCTGGTGTACCAAGTTAGCCTACCTGGTGTACCAAGTTAGCCTTGTGACCTACTTAGGTCGAGTCATGTTCCATTTTTATTTTGACATTGTATAATACCTTATATGGATTGATGGTGCAACTACCGGGGTTTTTCCACTGTCTTATTAAGGGTGTCTAGGACCCAGAAATTTTCCATTAAGATCTGATTGATTGATTCTGATCAGATGACCATCCCAACCAATGGCTACATGAGTTGAGGATAACCTCCCCTGTTGCATAAGTCTTTAACTGCACCGCACACTCGCAACACGCGGCAGTCTACCTTGATCAAACGGTCTATTAAGACCAGGCCGTCCATTTTGTCCGGCAATAGATTCTGACCATTTGAACGTGAGAGAACTTAAGTCCTGTGTGTGCTATGCTTTCTTAAGTTGATTTAGTCTTCTAGTATAATATTACTTGTCGCCAAGTGATTCTTGAAGCTATAGCAGTGTTGTGTGAACTGTGGCTATTTTTATACAGTGTTGAAATCTGTGATAGTGTTTTTTCTTACGCTTTGTAAGTTGGGTTTTGTTATTTTATAAATTAAATATTTTATCTAGTTTAACCTTGTGTTCTGCCACAACTGTGTTCGCTTATCAAAGGTTGTATGCAGATTGGATGAGTTGTTAACTTCAATAGTATCACTAGTTTTCCCTAGACATCAAAATCGAGCCCTAGTGTGTTGTTGAGTTAGTGTTCATTCATTTAGGCTTTAAGTCATTTGCATATAACCCCGAAAAATGAATCCGGGGACGTTCACCATCTATCTGGCTGGTAGATAGGTAAACGTTACAAAGTGGGGTCTCGCCGAGATTTAATCTGTCGTTCCAGTTGATTGGTTATATCAGTTAAACACTAAGTTTAGTTTGATTTAGTTGTTTTTCTATCCAGTGAAGCCGTGTTATTGAAACGCGCGCAAGGCTAGAGGTATCTAGGTCAAAAGTCAGACGTGTCACGTCCTAGATTGAAGAGGTCAAGTACACGGCCCAACGCTCCGTGTTAAGTTAGTGAATCTAGGCTTGTGATTTTGAAAGTTAGTGAAATGGAATCTTTTTTGGCTAATCCCACTTTTGAGGAGGTCGAGAAGTTGAGTAGAAAAGTTTTGATTAGTGTTGTTAAGGAATTGAAATTGGATTATTCTGTTACGCAGAAGTCAGAGGTGTTGAGAGATAAAAATGTTGTTCATTTTATTAATGAAGGTGTATTTAATGAAAGTTTGTTGGCTGGTGTGTTACTCCGTGAGGAGAAAGTTGCTTTAGAGAAGGCATTAAAAGAACAGGAGTTAGAGGTTAAAATTGCTTTAGATAGGAGGAGGTTGGAATCAGAATTTGGTAAAGTTAGTGATGTCACTTCTCTGGTAGATCCAAAAAAGTTGTCGGTGGGGCAAGTGATTGCCAAATTTGGGAAATTAGTTCCTAAATTTGATGAAACAGATTTGGTCGTTTTCTTTAACTCATTTGAGAGTTTAGCGAAGACATGTGAATGGCCCGAAACTTCCATTACTGCTTTATTGAGCTCGGTCCTTACTGGGAAAGCTGCAAAAACATACCAGGCACTCTCTCACGACGTTCAAAATAACTATAGTTTGGTCAAGACTGCCATTTTGAAGGCCTACGAACTGACGCCCGAGGCCTATCGGACAAAATTCCGAACACTCCGCAAGTTACCCACTCAATCATATGTGGAATTTCTCTTTGAAAAGGAGAAAGTATTCTCAAGGTGGCTACACTCTGAGGAAGCTTCTGAGTTTGAGAAACTCCGGTCACTTATCCTAAGGGAAGAATTCCTAACGTCCCTGCCTGAAGAGATACGACTACACATACTGGATAACAAGATAATTGACATCCGGAAGGCTGCTGAGTCGGCTGACACATATATGTTGGTGCATAAGAAACCACCAGTGTCAGGAAACCGCCTCAACCCCGTGCTTCCCCTTTTTGGCAGCAATCCTCCTGTTGGCCAACACATGAAGGCATTACAGTCCAGAGAGAAACCAAGATCAACTCTCAATCGTCGAGCAGTATGCCAGTTCTGCAAAAGACCTGGTCATCTTGTCAAGGACTGTTACAAACGTCGTTAATATAACAGAGAGGTGGTGCGTACTTCTGCGCACTATGCTCTATCCCCTCAAGCAGCCAGTTCAACTATGAACTCTAGAATTCTAAAGGACTCTAACCCTAAGTGTCCGCAAGAAGGTAGTCAAATCTCCACACATTATGTGCAGTCACATTTTGACTGTTCTCGCCACCATCCAGTTTCTTCCGAGTCTACCGATCTCGAGGGATCGAGAAAAGTTGACTTTTCATCTTTCATTGCCGAAGCCATCATTAGCAAACCAGGTGATCCGTTGTCTCAGAAGAATATCACCGTCCTAAGAGACACAGGAGCGTCACAATCACTTCTTTTGAAAAGTTCAATGGACATTACACCAGAGACGAACACCGGAAATATTTCCATTATCCAGGGAGTGGGGACAAAATCTACTGTCGTCCCTCTACACAAGTTTGCCCTGAAACATCATCTCGTCGAAGGTGAGGTCATTTTAGGTGTGATAGATAGTATTCCTGTCCCAGGAGTACACCTACTTCTAGGGAATGACCTTGCGGGAAGCAAAGTATACCCCTGTACGGTTCCAAACCCTTTGTCAACAGTTCCAGATAATGATAATGAACTGTATCCTGCATGTGTGGTGACAAGAAGCCAGACCAAACAATTAGCTGACACAACGTCTGAACCACACCTACCATCATCGTCAAGAAATTTGACTTCCAAACTGGAGTCTATGCTTCCAGAAAACACAAGCCTGGGCTTACCCCTGAGAATATCTCAGGAAGACATCATTAAAGCTCAACAAGTCGACGCGGAACTCAAGGCAATGGTCGAAAAATCTCTATCATCTGACGATGGAGAATATTTCTCCGAGAACGGCCTCTTCTTTCGTCGCTCTGTACCATTGGATGCCTCACCAGCCGAACCATGGTTGGGTAAAAACCAGCTGTGGGTCCCTCCACCTTATCGGCATGAAATACTTAAGCTGGCACATGACCATCCAATGTCTGCGCACCCAGGAGTCTCTAAAACGACGGCGAAGATCAAAGAACTGTTCTTTTGGCCCAAAATGAGAAATGATGTGTCGCGTTACTGCAAAAGTTGCACGAACTGTCAGTTGGCCGGAAAGCCAAACCAGAAAATTCCTAAGGCCCCTTTGAGTCCGATTCCTTTATTAGAAGAACCTTTTTCTAAAATCGTCATGGACTGTGTAGGTCCCTTGCCTAAAACCAAGGCGGGCAACGAGTACCTACTTACCTTTATGTGTTCAAGTACCCGTTTTCCCGAGGCGTTCCCCTTACGGAACATTAAGGCAAAGACTGTAGTTAGAGCCATGACCCGGTTCTTCACTACCTTTGGATTACCTAGAATTGTTCAAACAGATCAAGGCGGCAACTTCACCAGTCACCATTTTCAGGAAGCGCTAGCCAAGCTAGGCGTTACCCACATCACCAGCTCAGCCTACCACCCTCAGTCTCAAGGCGTACTTGAGAGGTTCCACCAAACCCTCAAAACCATGCTAAGAACATTCGCTAATAGTAACACCCAATGGGATGAGTCTGTTCCTTGGATTATTTTCGCCGCGAGGGACTGTGTCCAGGAAGCTTTAGGTTACTCTCCTTTTCAACTTGTGTTTGGACATTCTGTCCGTGGTCCCCTGAAGCTGATCCACGAACGTTGGACAGGTACCGGTGATCATCCTGTGGAAAACTTTGACGATTTTCACGTTCGACTGAAAGCTGTGTGCGAAATGGCTCACAAGAACTTAAGAAGGGCCCAAGTGAGAATGAAAGGACTGTATGATAAGAGTTCTCGTAAACGAACATTCAATCCAGGCGACAAAGTTCTTGTGCTAGTGCCTAATCTGAACAATGCGTTATCCTTGAGATATTGTGGACCCTTTACTGTGCATTCAAAATTAAGTGATTTGAACTATGTTGTCAATACGCCCGACAGAAGAAAGAAACAGACAGTGTATCATGTTAACTCACTGAAAAAGTATTATGATAATTGTAACAATTTTCATTCCACAGCTAAAATTACTTTACCTGTATGTTCAAATGTTTCTGATGATGTGATACATGATAAATTGAAACCCCCAAAATTGGTAAATTCTTCCTTTTTAGATAATTTGAATGTCCACCTTATGCATTTGTCCACAGAGGAAAGCCATAAATTGTCTCAATTATTTGAGACATTTCCCTCTATTTTTGGGGATGTCCCCAAAGAAGCGAAGGTTCCACCTCATGATGTAGACGTAGGTGACGCAAAACCCATCAAACAACACCCCTATAGAGTTAACCCGGAAAAAGCTGCTTTGATAAAAGATGAAATTGATTATATGCTCAAGAATGATATCATTGAGCCCAGTTTCAGCAACTGGAGTTCCCCATGTCTCCTAGTCCCGAAAGACGGTGGATCTTTCAGGTTTGTGACCGACTTTAGGAAGGTAAATGCGCTCACCAAAGCTGATTCCTATCCATTACCTCGAATAGAAGACGTTATCGATAAAGTTGGTCAAGCTAAGATAATTTCCAAAATTGATTTACTTTCAGGATACTGGCAAATCCCCTTATCTGACCGTGCAAAAGAGATATCTGCTTTTGTAACCCCTAATGGTTTTTATAGATACAAACGTATGCCCTTTGGTATGCGAAATGCTGGTCAAACTTTCCAGAGGGTCATTAACTCTGTCATTGCTGACATAGACCAATGTGAGGCCTACATAGATGATATAGTTGTATTTTCTAATACTTTTGAAGAACATATTGTTCAGTTGACTAACCTTTTTAGAAAATTGTCTGAAGTGAATTTTACTGTAAACTTACATAAAAGCAATTTCTGTAAAGGTTCAATTACCTATTTGGGTTATCAAGTAGGAACGAACCAAGTTCGGCCCATTGAAGCTAAAGTAGATGCTATTGTAAGGTTACCACCTCCCAAAAATTGTAAAGAAATCAAAAAGTTCCTTGGGATGGCTGGTTACTATAGGCGGTTCTGTCAAAACTTTTCAGCTATTGCTGAACCTCTTACTGCATTATTGAAAAAGGGTGTTGAGTTTGAATGGTCAAATAAATGTCAAGAAGCTTTTTTAACCATTAAGTCATTTTTATCTAATGCTCCTGTTATGGCTGCACCAGATTTCAGCAAGCCCTTTAAACTTGCCATTGATGCTAGCAACTTAGCCATTGGTTCAGTCCTATTTCAAGAAGACAACATGGGAATTGACCATCCCATTGCCTTTTTTTCCAGGAAGTTAAATGAGAACCAAAAGAATTACTCTACTATTGAAAAAGAAGCTTTAGCTTTGGTTTTATCCTTACAACATTTTGAAGTCTATGTCTCTTCTTCAACCAATCCAGTCAGAGTGTTTTCTGACCATGATCCCCTGAAATTTACCTCTAAGTTAGGACAGACAAATCAAAGAATATTGAGATGGTGTTTATATTTCCAAAATTTTAATCTGGAAATTTCACACATTAAGGGTAGTGATAATGTTGTGGCTGATTGTTTGTCAAGGATGTAAAATCTTATTGCACACATTGATCATGTGACATGTTTTGTGGTTCATTAAGACCATACACAAGTGTTGTGTTTTCACATGAAAATGAGTGGTATGAGTTTGAATTTTTCAAAATATCAATCCTGTTACAAATTTTGTTTATTTTCAGGTGAACCTTAATTAAAGGTGGTTTTTGATTATATGTAATCTTTTATGATAATATGTCTCATATGACTCAGTGATATTGTAGCTAGTCATTGAAATAAAGGTCTTACCCTGGCGGGTTTACCACTTTTAATATCCACATGGAAATATTGTAATACCCCTATTCTGAGGGATTTTGATGTATAATTACTTTTTGAAGGGTTACTCCCCTTTCACCAATTGTAAAAGTTTAAGTTACTTCCCTTTTATGTTCAGGGATATTTTCATCTGGTATTATGATTTTGATTGCCTACATTTGTAAAACATTTTTTTTATTTTCATTGCCAGATTGGTTCCTTATGTATGTTTTTGTGGAACCTATCTGTCACTTCCAAAAAGGGAGGGGATGTGACCTACTTAGGTCGAGTCATGTTCCATTTTTATTTTGACATTGTATAATACCTTATATGGATTGATGGTGCAACTACCGGGGTTTTTCCACTGTCTTATTAAGGGTGTCTAGGACCCAGAAATTTTCCATTAAGATCTGATTGATTGATTCTGATCAGATGACCATCCCAACCAATGGCTACATGAGTTGAGGATAACCTCCCCTGTTGCATAAGTCTTTAACTGCACCGCACACTCGCAACACGCGGCAGTCTACCTTGATCAAACGGTCTATTAAGACCAGGCCGTCCATTTTGTCCGGCAATAGATTCTGACCATTTGAACGTGAGAGAACTTAAGTCCTGTGTGTGCTATGCTTTCTTAAGTTGATTTAGTCTTCTAGTATAATATTACTTGTCGCCAAGTGATTCTTGAAGCTATAGCAGTGTTGTGTGAACTGTGGCTATTTTTATACAGTGTTGAAATCTGTGATAGTGTTTTTTCTTACGCTTTGTAAGTTGGGTTTTGTTATTTTATAAATTAAATATTTTATCTAGTTTAACCTTGTGTTCTGCCACAACTGTGTTCGCTTATTAAAGGTTGTATGCAGATTGGATGAGTTGTTAACTTCAATAGTATCACTAGTTTTCCCTAGACATCAAAATCGAGCCCTAGTGTGTTGTTGAGTTAGTGTTCATTCATTTAGGCTTTAAGTCATTTGCATATAACCCCGAAAAATGAATCCGGGGACGTTCACCATCTATCTGGCTGGTAGATAGGTAAACGTTACAGCCTACCTGTGTACCAAGTTAGCCTACCTGGTGTACCAAGTGAGCCTACCTGGTGTACCAAGTTAGCCTACCTGTGTACCAAGTTAGCCTACCTGGTGTACCAAGTTAGCCTACCTGGTGTACCAAGTTAGCCTACCTGGTGTACCAAGTTAGCCTACCTGGTGTACCAATTTAGCCTACCTGGTGTACCAAGTTAGCCTACCTGGTGTACCAAGTTAGCCTACCTGGTGTACCAAGTTAGCCTACCTGGTGTACCAAGTTAGCCTACCTACTGTAGCTGTAGACCTACCAAGTTAGTCTACCTGGTGTACCAAGTTAGCCTACCTGGTGTATTAAGTTAGCCTACCTACTGTAGCTGTAGACCTACCAAATTAGCCTACCTTGTGTACCAAGTTATCCTACCTACAGTAGACCTACCAAGTTAGTCTACCTGTGTACTGTGTACCAAGTTATCCTACTTGCCGTAGACCTACTACCGACTGTAGACCTACCAAGTTATCCTACCTTGTGTACCAAGTTATCCTACCTACTGTAGACCTTACCTACTGTAGACCTACCAAGTTATCCTACCTGGTGTACCAAGTTATCCTACCAGCCGTAGACCTACCAAGTTAGCCTACCTGGTGTAGACCTACCAAGTTAGTCTACCTGGTGTATCAAGTTATCCTACCTACAGTAGACCTACCAAGTTAGTTTACTATGTGTACTTAGCCTACCTGGACTATAAGCTGGAAGCCTGCAGTTGATATTAGTCCCACTGTACATCTTGGCGATTACAATGCCTTGCGGATCATTTGAGAACTCCATAAGATCTTCATATTAAAATAAATCAAATCATTAGTTTTTTTAAAGTAGAGATGTAAACCAAATGTAATGATCAAATCAAATCAGTCAGGAAAGTTTAAAATAATGCCATTTATATTATGACATAATTTATATATATAATTTTAAGTAATTAAAATAAATATTTCTGATCTTAATGTTCATATGATGACCTATACTATACACAGACAATCAAACCAGATGAAATTAATACTCTATTTTCTTTCAAAAACTTACGGGATAATTTAATTTGGTTATTTTGTCATAAAGACTAATTGACAATTTCTTTGACAAGCAGTAATCACGATGCAAGTTTTAAGTTCAACTTTACAACCTTTCAGTAATATTTATGTACATTTTGCATCTTTTGGCTCATTCTAATTCTAAATCATTTAGATTTGTATCTAGACCTACGTTTCTAAACGAGAATAATAGCAGATTAGCAGAAGGACCTACTTTTTTCTTCTTAACTTTATTTTGGACTATTTTATAAGAATACATGATTGAATTAAGTTCTTGTCCAGATAAGCCCCGTCACTAATGCAAAAAATGTATGCGCGAAATCTTAAGCCCAGTCCCATTTTGCCAGCATGGACGCAACCTTGATTTGAAGGCAATGATTAGAGTAAAGGTACCAGTGGCGTAGCGAGGTCTGGTGTCACCCGGTGCGGCACTTAATGGTGTCACCCCCCAGAGGCGTAGTGACCCTTCCCGGGGACAAACTTTCGATTTGCACCCACCCCCCTTAAACTTCCGATTTGCACCCCCCACCCCTCAAACTTTCGATTTGCACCCACCCCCCCTCAAACTTCCGATTTGCACCCCTCCCCCACCCCCCTCAAACTTTCGATTTGCACCCCCCCCGTCAAGTTTTTCTCAATATATTTTGCTATTTATTGCCTTGGTGTCACCCCCCTAAATGGTGTCACCCGGTGCGGTCCGCGCCCCCGCCCCCCCCCCCTCGCTACGCCTCTGAAAGGTACCAAGTATAATTCAGACTTTTTCATGCAAATTATCACTGACACGTACTAATTTCACACTCTGCAATAAAATCTAAAAGTACAAGTTTCATATCCTCTTTTTTTTTAATAATTTTTTTTTTTTTGGGGTGGCGGTGTTTACTTTTTGGCGGGGCTTATCTGGACAAGATCCGAATAAAAATGTGATTACATCCAAAGCTGATCTCAGCAGACTCCGAAATGGCCGCACCAAGCTCATTAGATGCGACACAATGATACCTCCCTTGGTCAAAATTGGCTTCCGGTTTCGTTATTATTAGCCTCCCGTCAGTGATGACGTAGCGCTTATCAGGGGACACCACTGCCGGTAGCTCAGCTCTGTATTTCCTGAACCACTTGTATGTGGGTGGTGGGTTGCTGCCCATTAAAAATTAGAATTCTTCACTCTTAAAAACGTCGTTGATTTATAAAGAGAAAAAAAATTCCTTTCAAATATGACTTACCTGCACTGCATACTACTTTATGACTTACCTGCATCCTACTTTATGACTTACCCTTTTGACTTACTTGCATTTTACTATATCATAAACAATTCCAGCGCCTGGGCGAACTATAAATTTTGTGCCCCCCCCCCCCCCCCCAGTTTTTTTATTATACTTAAACATATTCGTGAAAAAGTGTCCCCCCCCCCACACACACACTAGTTTTTGCTTAAGCGCCACACTTTGACTATGTATAGTATAATTCAATATTTCAGCATAAAATGAGCGTTTACATTTCTTTACCCCTTTTGGCGTCCCCTTTAGGATCGGCAGCCGCCCAAACCGCCCTCCCCTAGCTACACCATCCGGAAGTGGATGGGGGTATAATATGTGATAATCTATGGGTAAGAGCTACCAGAAAGATCATGTGATCAATACCTCCTTGCTATGCACTCGATGACCACTTCGTTGACTCGTCCAATGACCACGGTTGACTTGGGCTCGTTGAAAAACTGTGGTCCATATCTGATCTCATTGGGGTCCGTGATGTTGGTCCCGTACACTAAAAAAAAACACGTGTTACGTTACTCAACAACAGTAGACGCCATCAAGTTTTACTTAACATTTAAAAAACTAATAAGCATGTACAAAACGGGAGATTACTTATACCAGTGTCAGATAATAGAATTCTTATGAAATAAGACTTGTTAGGTTACTGGCAGTTAACTAAAATACACACATGCGAGCCCTATTCCTAGCCCCAACCCTAGTCCTAACGTACGCCTAACCCTAATTTCTAACCATAGAGCTATTCGAGGTTACAATACTACTAACAACCTAGTAAAAAAGACACTCCTTTTCTTACTAACAAGCTAATACACCTATTATCGAACATCTTCAAACATCCTAGAAAACAATCTGATCCTGATCACCTCGCCTCTTTTACGTAACTCACCAACTGGCGGACGGTAACTCATAACTTACACAGAATAAAACATTCATCAAGGGACATAACCATGATTAATGCAATACAAGGGACGTAACAATAACTCACAAGACATTTTATACAAGAAAAAATATTGAGATAAGATATCACGTAGTGTGTTTGAACTAAATCTTCAGCAAGTCCCACTGTCCTGAGACTGAATACTAATCAAGGGAATTTAGATTTTCTCTAATTACCATAATTTATCCAGCTGTAATATGCACCCAAAATAATCTGTTTATCATTATTAATATTACAATCCAACCATTTCCATAATCAAAAAGAGGCCCTCTTAGTAATTTCTATAAATAATTAGTTAGGTAACTAGGGTGTGACATGGGTCGGGGAAATTTATCACTCATTCGAAACTGAGAAAAAAGCAGGTCTGCAGTACGTTGAACTAAATCATGATCCTTTCTGCGATTTCTCAAATGAAAAAATCACAAAACATCCATGAACTAGGACAATTTGATCTGCGATATTTGTTTCAGTAGCTTCCATTTGCCTAAATTCATACTATTTGTTTCAGTATTCTAGTGATTTGTTTAGATCTATGTCAGATTATCACTATTCTATTTTTGGCATTGGTTCGTGGTTTGTTTAGATCTATGTCTTTTTTTTCACTGTTCTATTTTAGCATTAGTTCGTGGTTTGTTTAGATCTATGTCTTGTTTTTCACTGTTCTATTTTGGCATTCGTTCGTGATTGGCTTAGATCTGTCAAGTTTTTTTTTTCAGTAGGGTTCCTATTCTAGAAAAACAAAGATCGGCATTGCTATGTGGTTGGGTAAGGTACGATCTATGTCAAGTTTTATTTGGTAGGGCCCCTATTCTATAAAAACCTAGATCGGCATTGCTGTGTGATATGCTAAGATCTATGCGGATTTTTCAGAATGTTGTGTTCGACATTGCTTGGTAGCTGGCCTAGTTTGTGGCGGAGGCTAATTTACCGCGACTGATGCTGTATGCAGACGGTAATTTGTTTTGTCAGACAAGACTGACATGTTAACTAATTAGTCCCCCCCCCCCCACCCCGTTATCTGTTGGCCTTGCTCTAATCTACTAGGGCGTAAAGTTTAAAGTTAACTTGAGATTTAGATTAGGGTTCTGTTGTTAATGTCAGGGAGATATTTTTTTAAAAAGATATCCTTAGGTTCAAAGTATAGTTTTAAACTGCTATTATTAGGTTCAAAGTATAGTTTTAAAAATACCATCATTAGGTCAAAGTATAGTTTTAAAAATACCATCAATAGGTTCAAAGTATAGTTTTAAAACTGCTATCCTTAGGTTAAAAGTATAGTTTTAAAACTGCTATCATTAGGTTCAAAGTATAGTTTTAAAACTGCTATCATGGGTTCAAAGTATAGTTTTAAAACTGCTATCATTAGGTTCAAAGTATAGTTTTTAAAAAAATCATTTTTTTTATTGTAAGTTACTTTAGTGATGTGATTTAGAGTTAGGTTATTCCAAGGTAATGATAGTCACACCCGTACTTTACTCATGGCGCTCTTAATCTCAAAAGCACAGATATTCAGCCAAGGGATTAGGATTAAGACTGATGTGACAATTTAAGAGGATTAAGGTTTCTTTTAGGCTGAATATATAGACAGTTATTTTAAGTAGGGAATTACATATGTCGCTGGTTTCTGACTTATACTTCACCCCACCCCCATACTTATTTAAGACTTACAATTCCTTCCGAAGGATTTCGACGAGTATGTCTTAAACAACGAAAACATAAAATCAGTGGACAACCACACTTAGGACACACATGCATACATACCATATATAACCACATACAAACATAGGCCCCTGCTGCTGATTCAGCCTAACTAAACGCACCTTAAAGTTATATATAACCTTAAAAATAAATATACAATTTATTCCAATTTTTTAAAAAAAATGACGTAAGCACAATTTGTTCATTGTCAAAATGGATCCGTTATTTCAGTTGACCTATTTTAACTGTTTTGTTTCGTCTTATCGATCGACCTTATGTTTTGTAAACTTTTTAATGCGTCTATTTTTCCCCTATAAAAAAAAATGGGAAGAAAAAAATCTGACAGAAAAACATTTTAAGCTGGAAATTATCCCCCTTCCTACGCGGACATTTATTTATGTTTGTTGACATTCATGAATCACCCTCATAAAAACTTTTTAGAAACATTTCTCTCGTCATAAATTACGAATTCTACACACACACACAAAGCGTAAAGGTGTGTTGTTCTAGGATGTATAATAAGCTATTACTATTACCGTATTACGTCTTTTGTTTCCTTACCAGTAACCTCCCCTTCCGTGCAAAAATTTATGGCGTCTCGAGGTATGAATAAAAATTTTTTTGTAGGAGTGGAAGTTCAACGTAAGGACAAGTGCTCGCATTTTTAACATTTTCACAGTTTGTAAACATTAATCTTAATTAGAGTCAGGTGCCATTGAGTAATTACATTGCATACAGCTTGCATGTATATGAATTAATTAAATGCAATCGTATAATAAGGAATTTTTCGATTTAATGATTATATTTTAAATTCAAAATAAAATTAGTTAGATTAAAATAATAATTAGATCAGGCAAGGCGAGCCTTTCTTTCTTTACTGTTTAAAATGTTTGAACGAGATATTCAATGCATTTCAGATGATGGAATTTTCCACGTACCAAGAAAAAACAAAACAACGGAATGTCCATGGTCAAAGCTAAAGCAGATTATGAAAAGCAAATTAAATAAGGCCTATTTTCTAAACTCTGCCTTGCTGATAAGTCCTTCTAGTCGAGATCACTCAAACTAGCCTAGCCTAGCTAGGACCTCTAATTCAGTGGCGTAGCCAGTGGCGGATTAAGGGGGGTGCTGAGGGGGCTGCAGCCAGGGGCCCCCGATTTTTAGGGGCCCCCAAATTTCCTTTTTCAATCATAGTAAATTTCCCTTTTAAGTGAAATTTTTGGGTATTTTGTTGTTTTTCTTTTACTATAAAAGCCAATGTTTTAATATTTGAATGACAAGTTTATTTCAATTTTTCATCAAAATATCAAACTCGAGCACACATTTTAGTATAAATACCAGCCCGGACAGCGTTTGCTTATGCCAATAAATTGGGTTGATTTTTTTAGTTAAAAACATAAGCAGTGGTCAAATTCTGACACATAATTGACATGAATCTGGTGTGAACATTCTATGATTTAAACTTTTAAAACATTTATAGGCCTTTACTTTTAGTGAACGTTAATATCGGGTGTACAGGCCAGGGATGGCGTTCTTTAAATGGACGCCAGTGGAGATCCAACTTTTTGTGGGCCTCATAAATGGATGATACCTGAGAGGATGGAGGTGTGGTTTGCTTACTAGTTTTAGTTGGGCCTAGTTTAACCTCTGTATGTTATTAATAATTTCCTACATAGAGTGGTTTGAAATTATTTTTTCTTTTTGCGTCTATAATCACACAAGTGCCACCAGTCTTTATCGTCTGCTCTGTAACGAAATTATAATATTCTCATGGATATTTATATATGTTCAATGTTAGTCTGCATTTCCAGCTTTTTCATGCCCAATATAAATACTTGAATTACAGTTCAATAACTATCGTGACACGGATATACGGGCTCAGGAGTTTGACTCCCATTAGCCAGGGAGGTCTCGACGTAGTGAACTTCAACTAAATGGCCAATAGTGGAATAAATCAGTCTCACGAAGATGTTGGTTTGAAACACTACATGCTGGTCGCTTATTCATCCGTAAGCTTTGACCAGGCTTTACTTCTAAAGCTTCTACAGGCCTAAAGTAAACAGTCATATATTTAGTACTGCTGACGTAGCGGATGGATCTCGCCTGTGTTTTGTTAGTGTGTGAGTCGTGGTACAGGGTGGGGGCAACATATAATCATGCTAAAAATGTGTACATATTGGTTAGATGTTAGGGGATCGGCGTGGTCGAGTCGGTAAAGCTCGTGGATGCTTAACAGAAATTCGAGTTCGAATCCTCGGGCAGATGAGGCTCGTTAGCTGGGGATAGCTACTTTTTTAGGAGAGACAACTCCAAAATCAAACATCTGTTGTAGTTTGTTCTTGGTTGGACAAAGGCTATGAAAAAAGAAAAGCAGGCTGAAATCGGAGTCAATGGTCTCAATGGCGCCTAACCAGTTGACACGTATCCTTAATTGTGTTGGAGGGGATCCCTTCCAACACTAAAATTAAGAACGAAGAAGAAGAGAAGAAGAAGGTTAGATATGTGTATCCAATTTACCGCTCATTGAACACAATTGACAGCTTTTTAAATTATCAGTTTTGTAAATATCGGCGTCGAATGTTCCTATAAGTTATAAATAATCCATTAATATATTGAATAGTATGCTGATTAGGATATATATATATATATATATATATATATATATATATATATATATATATATATATATATATATATCAGGGGCCCCCAAAAAGTTTCAGTCCGGGGCCCCGCCCAAGCTTAATCCGCACCTGGGCGTAGCTACCGTAAAGCTAGCGTAAGCAAGGCATAGGGGCCCAAGGCAAATAGGGGCCCTTTTTCGTAAATTTGAGGGGAGGGTGGTGCAAATCGAAAGTCTGAGGGGGGTGCAAATCGAAAGTCTGAGGGGGGGGGGGGGGTGCAAATCGAAAGTTTGTCGCCGGGAAGGGTAGCTACGCCTCTGAGGGACCCACTAACACTTTTTGCATAGGGGCCCAAAAATCCTAGCTACGCCACTGCTCTAATTGTCTGTCTAGCAGGGAATACATAGTTTTAAATACTGTAATATGTCTAGATGGTGTAATATATATTAGTATGTCTTGATTGGGTCATGTATGTATAGAAGTATGTCTAGATGGAATCATAATATTTTGTAGTAGTTTTAGATGTGGTCATATATTGTAGTATTTCAAGATAGGATCAAATAAAATAATCGTAAAACTTATCGTCAAAATCTTCTTTTTCCAGTTAAAATATTTAAATAGTAAGGGAGAGGGATGACACTAAAATGAAAATGCTAAATTGTTAGAAGGGGATGGGGTGACACCCTCACTTACCGTACCAGGTGACACCCAACCTAGAGACGCCACTGGCTTTGATCACTAAAGTCTGTCCACCTGAGATCACTAGTCTGTCCATCAGGGAGCAACAGTCTGTCTAGCTTGGATTACTAAAGTCTGTGTTACTGAAGTCTTTCTAACTGTGACCATCAAAAGTCTGGGATCACTCTGCTTTGCTGGGATCACCAAAATCCTGTTTAGCTGGGACCACTAACGTCTGTCCAACTGGGATCCCCAAAAGCCTCTCTAGCTGGGATCACCAAAAGCCCCTCTAACTGGACTCACCAAAAGCCTCTCTAACTGCGATCACAAAAAGCCTATCTAGCTGGGATCACAAAACGCCTCTCTAGCTGGGATCACCAAAAGCCTCTCTAACTGGACTCACCAAAAGCCTCTCTAGCTGCGATCACAAAAAGCCTATCTAGCTGGGATCCCCAAAAGCCTCTCTAACTGAGACCACCAAACGCCTCTCTGAGACCACTACTCACTAAAGTCCCGTCCTCTCTGTGTGATCCTGTAGCTCTCCATAACGCTTATCTCACACACCTGCGAGCATTGACTCTCTGGCCTCTCACGGTCCCATCTGTAGGCACTCACCAGCTCTGGAACCAGACCAACAGACACGATTAGTACCAGACCACAGACCAACAGACACGATTAGAACCAGACCAACAGACACGATTAGAACCAGACCAACAGACACGATTAGAACCAGACCAACAGACACGATTAGAACCAGACCAACAGACACGATTAGAACCAGACCAACAGACACGATTAGTACCAGACCACAGACCAACAGACACGATTAGAACCAGACCAACAGACACGATTAGAACCAGACCAACAGACACGATTAGAACCAGACCAACAGACACGATTAGAACCAGACCAACAGACACGATTAGTACCAGACCACAGACCAACAGACACGATTAGAACCAGACCAACAGACACGATTAGAACCAGACCAACAGACACGATTAGAACCAGACCAACAGACACGATTAGTACCAGACCACAGACCAACAGACACGATTAGAACCAGACCAACAGACACGATTAGAACCAGACGAGCAGACACGATTAGAACCAGACCAACAGACACGATTAGAACCAGACCAACAGACACGATTAGAACCAGACCAACAGACACGATTAGAACCAGACGAGCAGACACGATTAGAACCAGACCAACAGACACGATTAGAACCAGACCAACAGACACGATTAGAATCAGACCAACAGACACGATTAGAACCAGACCAACATACACGATTAGAACCAGACCAACAGACACGATTAGAACCAGACCAACAGACACGATTAGAGTTAGACCAACAGACACGATTAGAACCAGACCAACAGACACGATTAGAACCAGACCAACAGACACGATTAGAACCAGACGAGCAGACACGATTAGAACCAGACCAACAGACACGATTAGAACCAGACCAACAGACACGATTAGAATCAGACCAACAGACACGATTAGAGCCAGACCAACAGACACGATTAGAGCCAGACCAACAGACACGATTAGAACCAGACCAACAGACACGATTAGAACCAGACCAACAGACACGATTAGAGCCAGACCAACAGACACGATTAGAGCCAGACCAACAGACCAACAGACACGATTAGAACCAGACCAACAGATACGATTAGAACAAGGGGGGAGGGGGGCTTTGTGTCATAAAATATCATTTTAAATGTGAATTTAAAGATTAGTTTTATTAAATGTTTCGAAAATAAAACCGAATTAACAATTTTTTTTTTATATAAAAGGGATGGGTACAATGTTTGAAAATATCGAAAACCTTTCTTTAAATTTAAATGAAATCATTAGATGTTTTGTGAAGGTACCATTTTAAATGTGAATTTAAAGATTAGTTTAATTGAATGTTTCGAAAATAAAATGGAATGAAAAGATTTTTTTTTATAAAAGGGATGGGTACATTGCTTGAAAGTATCGAAAAACTTTCTTTAAATGAAAGCATATGATGTTTTGTGAAGGTACTGAGTGACTTGACTGCCAAAATTACAATAAAACTTAACTGACACTGGGAACTGACTCAAGTATTAACTTCCAAAAGTAACAAACTACAGGGCGTAAGCCAAGTGTTAACTACCAAAACTACCTTATTAAATTTTAGGGAATGCCTCAATTGTTAACAATATAACTACCTCTAAAACAACAGGGTCTAATTCTAGTGTTAACTACCACACTACCATAAACTAAAGGGAATAACCCAAGCATTAACTACCACACTACCTTAAACTAGAGTGACTGTCTCAAGCATTAACTACCTCACTACCTTAAACTAGAGAGACTGCCTCAAGCATTAACTACCACACTACCTTAAACTAGAGTGACTGCTTCAAGCATTAACTACCACACTACCTTAAACTAGAGTGACTGCCTCAAGCATTAACTACCACACTACCTTAAACTAGAGTGACTGTCTCAAGCATTAACTACCACACTACCTTAAACTAGAGTGACTGCCTCAAGCATTAACTACCACACTACCTGAAAAAGCGAAGACGACCACATCACCCCCATGACTGGTGGTCAGGTTTGCCCAGTATTCAGGGGAAGATAATGTGTTAGAACCGTCGCCACTCCACTCTATATTGTCTCCCCTGACGTGTCCGCTCGTCCACCATTTGTTAACCCTTTAAACATATAGAAATACAAAAATAATTTAAAATCTTTAAAACAAACATAACACGCTTAAATTTCAATAGCTATGTGTGTGAAAGTAAAGTGCCATATATGAAGAAGAGTTCACCTATATTTACAATGACTTCCTTAAAAAAATAGTCTTATCAGAGCAACAAACGAACCGCCTTTACAATCTCCGACTAGTCGGGTATGAATTAGAGCTGGGTGGGCTCAGCGCCACACCCTTTATTTGGTATTACAAGTTGAGATTTTTTAGTCCCTTATCAAGTACAATGTTTTTTCTTATCTCAATGCAATCTGTACCTGCAGGTGTTATATTGGAACCTGGAGAATTCCAGGTCTTTAGACTTAATCAAAACGTCTGGTCTACTTTTTCGTTCTATTAATTTTGAATAAAATAATTTAAAAAAACACACCGTACTGTTATAAAGTTAAAGTGTATAAAACAACTTTCTCTAAGATTAAGAAAAAGGCTCATGTAGTTTTCTTTCGAGCAACAATACTCCCATAAATATTCTAGCGGATCTAAACTAAAGAGCTTTTTTTTAAAAAAAAAATATTTATTTATTTCCTCCACGACTTGAAGTGTGAAGTATGTGTGACACTCCTATCTCTTAACCTTTCCTCTAATTCCTAGCCAAAACGTGCCTTCAGTTTTCATTTGGATATTTTAAACCCGCACACTCAAAAAGTCAGGGAGTAACTAGGGCTGCATTTTTTTTTCGTAAGAACTGTTTACATTCACATAAGCGAACTAATCTAATTCAAAGACCAAGGGAAATAAGTCACATCAAGAATGATAATCAGCATGGCAACTTGGAACATGCGGTTACCTGCCCGTCTCAGATTGAATGTCTCTAGCTATGAAAATTATTTATACGAGGCCTGAGCCGGATTGATGTGTAGCATAAGTATCATGCGCTGTTTTAATGTAAAGTAAAAGACGACATTGATAATTATAAAGTCAATAACTTGAATAACCAAAGCGTATAAGTAATGTAAATGTCGGCAGTAATATTTGTAAAATATTATTGATATGTTTAATAAAAATAATTAAATGTATACATGACTAACATGTTGTAAATTACCACAATGATGTGTTTGTTTTTAGTGATGACATTGATGCATGAGCTGTAAATAGCCACATTCAACGTCATCTTTTTCCGTTCGTGCCCAAGACACATGGGGCAGATGCAGTAGAGTTCATCTACTTCAACGACCGCAGCATACGAGGTGATAGTGTGGTCAGCATTATGCCCAGTCGTCTTTTGTTTCCCTAATGTGACACAAGTAGGCCTACCCATCAGAGCTTAGTAGACTCAAGGGCAGAGTTTCTTCCAGGCATCTCTTCGGGTCTTCGGGGGGGGGGGGGCTCCCCCGATAAAAGTCTACCGCCCCCCACCCTTCGAAGGAAATGTAATTTATATAGAAAACATACACTTTTACCAGTGTCCGCCTACCCCTCCCGGAAATGTTGACCGCCCCCCCCCCCCCCCGAAAATATCAAATGCACCCCCCCCCCATCCCCGGAGAAAATGGTCCCGATGAAACACTGCTCAGATGTTTCCTATAGACCCGAGCCCCAGATTCCGAACTTACGACTTTCTGGTTAGTAGTCATTAGCTCTATTACTCGACCCATATTAGTGTGTGCAAAAGACCTGACCACTCACATGTGTAGCATGCAGAATGTAACCATCACACTAAATCGCAGACAGTAAGACATCTAACAAGATCTCAGTCCTAATACTTAACACATTACAAGGTGTTATTTTAAACATGTACAAAGCTACGGAACAAAAAACGAAACAACTTATATTTGGAAAGGAGATGTAGGATAGGGGAGTGGTTGCCAGGAAAAATAAAGCGGGAGTGATCTCCCCTAAACGGGAGGATGGCAACTCGGGACATAGACATTATTTTTAATCAATTTTTAAATACTTAAATTTAAAAAAAAATAGAATATAATATCGTAGAAGAAAGAATTGCGTAACAAGTGAACGGCAAACAATATGTGTGTAATATGTGTATAATAGTGCAAAATATTAGTAGTTTATAAATTCGTGTGCATTTTTTGAGAAATCGGAAAGTACTGCTTCGGGTAAACGGAAAATACTTAAAATATGATAGAAAGCAGAGAATTAGATTTCTTACGTGTAAGTGAAATTTCGTTTATTTGACTGAAACAGTACTCAATTTATAGTATTTTGAAAAACTAGAAGTAGAATAAATTCCACTTCCAGTTACCAGAAATTGCTGAAAAGTTGATAGGGAACTTCAAATTTGATATCATACTTATAAATGAAATGTGATCAACCTAGCTATAAAGGTACTTTTAAGTTATTATGTTCACAGACATAGATACGTACATAAATACATACGGACAAAATAGCAAAATTATGTCTTTCCGACTTGGGGAGATGTAAAAGTTTTGTGAAAATCTCGATTTCGATTTTATGCACGATAACAATACTTCCTCTATACTTCTTATACGAGAAAGTAAAAAAGACAAATTTTAATACATATTTTTGCATAATTGCAGTCTCATGATATGACCAAAAAGAAAGACAAAAGTCCACTGGATATAAACAGAATAAACTAAAGTCAGCTTTTTTTTTCAAAGTCGTTTAGATTTCCAGTGTTTCTTCCAGACTTTTGTCCCACGGGGGGCACTTGAAATTTTCGGGGGGGGGGGGACGACTAAAATTTTCAGGGGGTGGGGGCGGACACTGTTAAAAGTATACATTTTCTTTATAAATTCCATTTCGTTCGGGGGGGGGGTGCCTGGAAGAAACTCTGTAGATTTCTTTGTTTATTTTAGTGTGTATGTTTAGTTGTTTTTTTTTTATATTATTGTACTTGGCTAACGAGGAGCTTTAATAATTGTTAACATATTCCACGCCCAGTTTTTTCTATATAACGTGAACTCAACGCTAAGCAAATCTGGTCTCAAGGCTTTACAACAACAAACAACGAAATCAGTTATTCCCCTTCTGACAGGTGGCAGCACGGTCGCTTTTTTTTTTTAAATTTAAAGTTTAGAAAACAAGGGGCTTAACTCTGTCATATAATTTCTCGCAGCATTCAAAAACATGAGGATTTAGTTGGTGTCACACGTTCTAGTGAGTGTGACAGGTTTTTCTAGTGTACATTTTTAACTAAATAAAAGAAAAAAAAAGTAAATCAGGGAAATAAGGCTCTCCGTGGCACAATGTCTAAGATAAGGGCAGGCTACTGGGGACAGAAACGTAACCACCACTCATTCCGGTGTCCTGGGTAATCAATGCTGCACACCGTTTTATATATATATATATATATATATATATATATATATATATATATATATATATATATATATATATATATATATATATATATATATATATATATGTGTTTATATGTATATGTGTTTATATCTATATATACATTATATATATATATATATATATATATATATATATATATATATATATATATATATATATATATATATATATATAGGCTTGTATATAGGCCTATATATATGTATAAATGTATATATATATAATATATTATATATATATATATATATATATATAGGCCTATATATAAGCCTATATATATATATATATATATATATATATATATATATATATATATATATATATATATATATATGAAGCCGGTTAATAGAAATATTATTGTTCTATGGCTATATTAGACACATTTTTATTTGAATTTCCATGGTACGAATGCCGAAACATTCTATAGAATGACGACAAACCATCTCAAAGGCAATGAGCAGATAATAGCTAGATCACTATAAAAAGCCAGGTAGATGTTTATTCTCTTAAATTCGACTGCGTATAATTCAGTAAAGCGGCACAGTATAAGATTTTTTGTACCCCTTTTGGCGCCGCTAATGTCGACGCCCTGGGCCACCGCCCCACCTGCCTTTCCTTATCTACGCCTTTGATTAGAATTAGGGCTGAGCTGCGTTGTGTAGGGGGCGAGACAAATGTGGTAACACAACTACAAAATAGGCCTATTTTTTACCATACTTGTATTATTCTCATTTTTATTATCTACTTGGGACAAAAATAAGTGTAAAAAATAAAGCTGAAGACGTTCATACTATAGCACGTGGAGTCAGCATACAGTGATAGCATGTCCAAGTTCATAAAACTGCATTTCCATTGATAAGAAATGTAAATAAAAAAAATTATTTATTAAAACGTTGGCAAAGTTCAATTTTTTTTTAAAAAGTTGTCAGTTTTTAGCAAATATAGGCTTATGCGATGTTAAAATATTGGAGTTTGTGTAGTTTTCTTCACTGATAAGAAAGGTAAATAGGGCTGAATGTCTTTTTAATTAGCCGATTCGAGAAAAATATGGTTAGCGCGAATACAATTCAAGTTGATAGTGACATTTTCATGACTGATTCCGGGCCGGATAATTCTGTGGTCCATTTTTAGATACGAACTTGATCTAGGATAAAATAAAAGTACTGTAGTAGAAGATATTTTAAATCGCAGAAAAATATTCAGGTAGAACTGTTTTTAAAAAACCCATTAAAACACTTGACTGCTTATGATACGTCTATTTTTTTTATAGGCCTACTGAAATTGTACTGTTTAGAATGGGTTCGGTGTGGTATATAAAAATACTACGTTAATATACTTAGAGAATATAGCTTTCTTTAATCAGAGTTTTAAACAATGAAAGCAGATAAAAAGATGTTTTTTTTTTCTTTTAATAAAATGATTCTTAAATAAACATTCTGTTTATGTTTTGTCAGTAGGCCTACTTACAAATGTTCTATTCTTCGCACATGCATTGTCACATTTTGTGTCGTGATTGACACGTTGTTAAATCTGCCGAGGGCAATGTGACCTGGGCTTAACCCTGCATACTCAATCTTTAGAGGTCGTTGTCATGGTGACAATAAAAAATCACCTGCCCCGAAAGTTCTCCAGTCTCGAAATAACGAATCCCACATGTACCCCACACAA